GCCTATAATATGCTTGGAAAAAATATTTTGAAAAATCCACGCCTATAATATGCTTGGAAAAAATATTTTTAAAAATCCACGCTTATAATAGGTTGGAAAAAATATTTTAAAAAATCCACGCCTATAATATGGTTGGAAAAAATATTTTTAAAAAATCCACGCCTATAATATGGTTGGAAAAAATATTTTTAAAAAATCCACGCCTATAATATGGTTGGAAAAAATATTTTTAAAAAATCCACGCCTATAATATGGTTGGAAAAAATATTTTTAAAAAATCCACGCCTATAATATGGTTGGAAAAAATATTTTTAAAAAATCCTACGCCTATAATATGGTTGGAAAAAATATTTTTAAAAAATCCACGCCTATAATATGGTTGGAAAAAATATTTTTAAAAAATCCACGCCTATAATATGGTTGGAAAAAATATTTTTAAAAAATCCACGCCTATAATATGGTTGGAAAAATATTTTTAAAAATCCTCGCCTATAATATGGTTGGAAAAAATATTTTTAAAAAATCCACGCCTATAATATGGTTGGAAAAAATATTTTTAAAAAATCCACGCCTATAATATGGTTGGAAAAAATATTTTTAAAAAATCCACGCCTATAATATGGTTGGAAAAAATATTTTTAAAAAATCCACGCCTATAATATGGTTGGAAAAAATATTTTTAAAAAATCCTCGCCTATAATATGGTTGGAAAAAATATTTTTAAAAAATCCACGCCTATAATATGGTTGCAAAAATATTTTTAAAAAATCCACGCCTATAATATGCCTCGAAAAAATATTTTTAAAAAATCCACGCCTATAATATGCCTGGAAAAATATTTTAAAAAATCCACGCCTATGATATGCCTCGAAAAAATATTTTTAAAAAATCCACGCCTATTATTATACCCAAAAAAAATATTTTGAAAAAATCCACGCCTATTATTATACCCAAAAAAAATATTTTTAAAAAGTCCACGCCTATTATTATACCCAAATAAATATTTAAAAAAAAAAAAATCCACGCTTCTAATATGCCTTAAAATTTTTTTTTAAAAAAACCAAGCCTGTAATATACCTTGAAAAAATCTTTTAAAGAAATCCACGTCTATAATGTGCCTTGAAAAAGCTTCGAAAAAAAATTTAAAAATCTACGCCTATTATATGCTTCGAAAAAATATTTTATTTCAAAGGATGCATTACTAAAAGTCCCACCAACAACCTCATATCAGGCGACAACATTTTTATTACAACACTCAACATGTTGGGTTGGGGTGGTAGGGTAGGAATTCTTTTATTGCCTTTTGTCTCGTTCATTAGCGGCACGATACGGCAATCAGACGTGGCTGCCGGCCACATTTGATGCGAGTGCGTGTTCAGAGCCCATATATGTTCATATAAATATTCTACTTAAAGTCAAACGGTATTTTTTTCGGATGCTGATATATTAGTAAAGAGATTAACTCCATTGAAAACAAAAATGTGAGTTTCAAAATAAAAATACCACAACATTGATTTTTTAAAAATATTTTTCCAAAAAAAATTGTAGAGAATATATATACACCTGGGTTTTTTTAAAAATATTTTTTCGAGTTCAATTACAGGCGTGGATTTTTTTAAATATTTTTTTGAGTTTAGATATAAGCGTGTATTTTTTTAAAATATTTTTTCGACTATTATTATAAGCGTGGGTTTTTAAAAAAAATATTTTTTCGACTATTATTATAGGCGTGGATTTTTTAAAAATATTTTTTCGTCTATTATTATAGGCGTGGATTTTTTAAAAAATATTTTTTCGTCTATTCTTATAGGCGTGGATTTTTAAAAAAATATTTTTTGTCTATTATTATTGGCGTGGATTTTTTAAAAAATATTTTTTTCGTCTATTATTATAGGCGTGGATTTTTTAAAAAATATTTTTTCATATATTATTATAGGCGTGGATTTTTTAAAAAATATTTTTTCGTCTATTATTATAGGCGTGGATTTTTTAAAAAATATTTTTTCGTCTATTATTATAGGCGTGGATTTTTTAAAAAATATTTTTTCGTCTATTATTATAGGCGTGGATTTTTAAAAAATATTTTTTCGTCTATTATTATAGGCGTGGATTTTTTAAAAATATTTTTTCGTCTATTATTATAGGCTTGGATTTTTTAAAAAATATTTTTTCGTCTATTATTATAGGCGTGGATTTTTTAAAAAATATTTTTTCGTCTATTATTATAGGCGTGGATTTTTTAAAAAATATTTTTTCGTCTATTATTATAGGCGTGGATTTTTTAAAAAATATTTTTTCGTCTATTATTATAGGCGTGGATTTTTTAAAAAATATTTTTTCGTCTATTATTATAGGCTTGGATTTTTTAAAAAATATTTTTTCGTCTATTATTATAGGCGTGGATTTTTTAAAAAGTATTTTTTCGTCTATTATTATAGGCGTGGATTTTTTAAAATATTTTTTCGTCTATTATTATAGGCGTGGATTTTTTAAAAAATATTTTTTCGTCTATTCTTATAGGCGTGGATTTTTAAAAAAATATTTTTTGTCTATTATTATTGGCGTGGATTTTTTAAAAATATTTTTTTCGTCTATTATTATAGGCGTGGATTTTTTAAAAAATATTTTTTCATATATTATTATAGGCGTGGATTTTTTAAAAAATATTTTTTTCGTCTATTATTATAGGCGTGGATTTTTTAAAAATATTTTTTTAAAGAATTATTATAGGCGTGGATTTTTTAAAAAATATTTTTTCGTCTATTATTATAGGCGTGGATTTTTTAAAAAATATTTTTTCGTCTATTATTATAGGCGTGGATTTTTTAAAAATATTTTTTCGTCTATTATTATAGGCTTGGATTTTTTAAAAAATATTTTTTCGTCTATTATTATAGGCGTGGATTTTTTAAAAAATATTTTTTCGTCTATTATTATAGGCGTGGATTTTTTAAAAATATTTTTTTATTATTATAGGCGTGGATTTTTTAAAAATATTTTTTTAAAGAATTATTATAGGCGTGGATTTTTTAAAAATATTTTTTTAAAGAATTATTATAGGCGTGGATTTTTTAAAAATATTTTTTTAAAGAATTATTATAGGCGTGGATTTTTTAAAAAGTATTTTTTCGTCTATTATTATAGGCGTGGATTTTTTAAAAAATATTTTTTCGTCTATTATTATAGGCGTGGATTTTTTAAAAAGTATTTTTTCGTCTATTATTGTAGGCGTGGATTTTTTAAAAAATATTTTTTCGTCTATTATTGTAGGCGTGGATTTTTTAAAAAATATTTTTTCGTCTATTATTATAGGCGTGGATTTTTAAAAAAATATTTTTTCGTCTATTATTATAGGCAAGGATTTTTTAAAAATATTTTTCCATCTATTATTATAGGCGTGGATTTTTTAAAAAATATTTTTCCATCTATTATTATAGGCGTGGATTTTTTAAAAAATATTTTCCCATCTATTATTATAGGCGTGGATTTTTTATAAAATATTTTTTTTAAAATGTGACTTAGGTAATTTTCCTTGGGAACCACTTGCAACATGTTATCCTTAAACGAGTTATGTAAAGAAGGAGGTAAGAAAGTATACTCACTGTAAAGTTTTATGGTCCCATCCATTTCACCACGAGGATTTTTGGCTACACACTTGTAGCTGCCATAATCACTTTTCTGTACATTCGTTATGTGTAAACGCATTGTTGCCTTGTATGACGGATTACCGGGTATGGTTTCGGTTCTGCATGGAAATTCCCAAAATTGGCAGGCAAGATGGGAAAAACAAATAAGAAATAAGAAAAATTTTATTAATATTAAAAAAAAAATTAATTGGAATTTTTTGGTCATGAAAATGGATCTTAATTGGAAAATAAAATTATTTCAAAAAATTTTTTTTTTTTTTAATTTTTGTTAATGTTTATTAAATTTCCGTTGATGAAATCTAGGGCCATCACAGAGGTCTCCAATTTCCTGAATTATTTTCAATTATTTATTTTTTTATTATTTACACCTTTTTTGTTAATATTTTCCTCCTCAAGTTCCTTCATTCAAAAGTCATTAGACTCATAAATAAAAAAATGAAAAATGTAAAAAATATTTTTTTTATTTCTTTTTGCCTTATTCTGATAAGCAAGATCATGAAAATTATGCAAATTTTCTTGACATTTGTTATTACATTTAATTTGCTTTTCATTTACATTGAAATGGGAAAAGAAAGCAATGATGGAAAGACCAAGAGAGAAACAACGACATAAATATTGGATTAGACATTAGGGTGGGACGGAAAATAAAAATTTCCAAAGTTACAGAAATACCTTCCCAGGGACATTTATAGAGGAAAATAGTTCGGAGAGTCCACTATCGAAAAAAGGACTTCGAAGGAGCGTCCTTCAATTGAAAGTCTACAAAAAGTCCTTTATTGAGCCCCCTTCTAGCCGTACTAACCTATGGGAGCCTTTTATAGATTTTCATTTGTTTAAATCCTATCCATGTGGCCTCTATCAGCTGAAATTTTTCTTAGGTCCTTTATAACCCGAATTCCTCCTCATTTGACCTCCCACCCCAATATCCTTGTAATAAAAAATATGAAAATAAAAAAAACGCATTTTTGCAATGAATATTTCCTTTAAATGTCAATGGACAACAATGGGACAATAGAGTTACACGTAATCCAATGATGATAATGATGAAGAAGAAGAAACCGACTGACAGCCGGCCGTTCAGTTGATTGTGATATAAAAAATACAATCTCAAAAAAAAAAAAACTGAAAAAAATGCAGTAGATGGGAATTGGTGACGCCAGCCATATTTATGAAGTGGATTATGACCTTGGCAATGTATAAAGAGAAATATTTAATCTTGGAGCTAGACAGGCGGTAATTTTTGAGAAGGCATTTAGAATTATTTTTTGGAAGAAGAAATTTTAAAAGAATATACTTTGAAAAATCCTTGATAAAAAATTTCTCAAAAATAATTCCTTGATTATTGATCCATTGAAAAAGCACCAATAATTATTTTTGAGAATATTTTTTTTTCAAGGATTTCTCAAAGAAACCACCAACAAAAGTTGACTTCTAAGGAAATCTATTTTTCAAGAACCAATTTAATTTTTATAACATAATTTTTTTCAAGGATTATCTTAGGAATGTTTTTTTCCAAGGACCTACAGGCTTTAATTTTTGTGAAATATATTTTCAAAGACAAACCAAAATTGACTTCTGAGGAGATATCTTTTTAAGGATCGATATACGTAACTTTTTTCAAAAGACGCGGATTTTTTAAAAGGTCGTAATTTTTTCAAAAGATGTGGATTTATTAAAAGTACGTGGAGTTTTTCAAAGGACGTGCATGTTTTCAAAGAATTTTTTTCTCGATTTTTTCAAATATTGTGTTCAAAGTATGTGGATTTATGCAAAGGACGTGTTTTTTCTAAGGAGGATTTTCTCAAAATTTGTGTGTGTGATTTTGTTTAAAGGACGATTTTTTCGAATAGGATGTGATTTTTTTCAAAGGACGTGATTTTTTCCAACGTCGTGATTTTTTTCAAGGATGTGGATTTGTATAAAAATCGAGGATTTTTTTAAAATACGTGTTTTTTTTTTAAAAGACTTATTTTTTTTCAAAGAACGTTAATTTGTTCAAAAGGCGTGATTTTTCAATTGTCGTGGATTTTTTCAAAGACCTGGTTTTTGAAAGGACCCGGTTTTATTCAAAGGGCGTAGATTTTTTCAAAGGTACCAGTTTTCTTCAAAGTACGTGGATTTTTGCAATGGACGTGGATTTCAAAAGAACATGGATTTTTCCAGAAGACGTGGATTTTTTCAAAGATGCCAGTTTTCTTCAAAGGATGTGGATTTTTGCAAAGGACGTGGATTTTTGGAAAGATTGGGCTTTTTCAAAGTTCCCGATTTTCCTCAAAGGAGATGGATTTCTCAAAAGAACATGGATTTTCCCAAAAGACTTGGATTTTTTCAAATGACGTGAATTTTTTTCAAAAGTTGAGGATATGTCTAAAGGACGTGGATTTTTTCAAAGGTCGTGGAATTTTTCAAAGGTCGAGTATTTTTTCAAAGGATGTGAATTTTTTTAAAGTCGTGAATTTTATAAAGGACCTGATATTTTTAAGCTATGTAATTAGTTTTCAAAATTTTTTTTTGTTTTTCAAAGGACGTGGTTTTCTCAAAGGACACGATTTTCATTTCAAAGGACATGAATTTTTTCAAAGGACGCAGTTTTTTTAATTGCTTGGATTTGTTCAAAGGTTGGATTTTTTTAAAGACACATTTTTATTCAAAGCCATGGATTTGTTCATAAGTCCTGGATTTTTTCAAAGGATGTATTTTTTCAAAGATCGTCCTTAGAAAAAAATATTCTTTGATTTTTTTCAAAAAATCTGGATTTTTCAAAGGACCTGTTTTTTCTAAAGACCTGATTTTTTTAAAGGGCGTGGATTTTTTTCAATTTTTTTATTTCAAAGGACATGGATTTTTCAATTTTTTATTTCAAAAAAACGTGGATTTTTCCAATATGTTTATTTCAAAGGACATGGATTTTAAAAAATTTTTTTTTTAAAGGACGTGGATTTTTTCCATTTTTTTATTTCAACGGACGTTAAATTTTTCAAACGACGTGACTTTTTTGAAAGTACTTGGATTTTTTCAAAGGAAAAGAGTGGATTGTTTCAAAGGACGTGGATTTGTTCAAAGGAAAAGAGTGGATTTTTTCAAAGGACGTGGATTTTTTAAGGGTTGTGATTTTTTTGAAAGGACGTGGATTTTTTCAAGGGACCAGATTTTTTTGAAAGGACGTGGATTTTTTCAAGGGACCTGATTTTTTTTACAAAACCTGACTTTTTCCAAAGGATTTTTTTCGAGGGAGGGCATATTTTCAATTTTCGAGGAATTTTCTCCAGGACGTGGATTTGTTTCTGAAGGACGCGCACATTTGATCAAAGGACGTTTTTTTTTTTAAAAACATGATTTTTTCAAAAACCTTTCAGTGACTCAAATTTTTTGAAAATACTTTTTTATAGTCCTTCATTCACCTGCATTTTTTTTAAATCCGATCTTCAATTAAGTTTTTAGATTAAAAAACAAATTTAACAGTCCTTCAGTGACGTGGGTTTTTTAAGAATATTTTCCTCAAGGGTTTCCATATTTAAAAATAATACAGTTTTAAACGGCTCTCATTGACGAGGCGTAGCTTTTTCAAAGCATTTTTTCCGAGCCATGTAAGGTTTGTGGACTTGTTAAAAATAATTTTTTAGAGATCTTCCGGAGACGTAAATGTATAAAGAATATGTTTTAAAGCCTTGAAAGCAGAGGATTTTTTAGAATATTTTTTTTTTGGTTTTACTCAGAAGTTTTTTAAGTCTGTTGGACTTTTGGAATTGGAAAAAGTCCATATAGGTTTAAGGATTTTGGTAGTTTCAGTCACAATTAATTGAATTTACTGAAAATTGTAAATTTATAAATGTGACTTAAAAAAATATTTAAAAAAAAAATCCAAGTTTATTGATGCCCCTTAAAAAATATTTTTGAAAATTCCACCCTTAAAAATTACTTTTTAAAATGCACGTTAGGCCTTGAAAAAATATTTTTAAAAAATCCAGGTTTATTGTTAGGCCTTGAAAAAATATTTTTAAAAAATCCAGGTTTATTGTTAGGCCTTGAAAAAATATTTTTAAAAAATCCACGTTTATTGTTAGGCGTTGAAAAATATTTTTGAAAAATCTACGTTTGTTGTTAGGCCTTGAAAAAATATTTTTAAAAAATCCTCGTTTATGGAGAGTCCTTGAAAACATATTTTTAAAAAATCCACGTCTATATTTGAGGCTTGAAAAAATATTTTTAAAAAATCGGCATTTATATTTGAGGCTTGAAAAAATATTTTTAAAAAATCCACGTCCATATTTGAGCCTTGAAAAAATATTTTTAAAAAATCCACGTCTATATTGAGCCTTGAAAAAAGATTTTTTAAGAAATTCACGTTTATTTGTGGTTCTTGAAAAAACATTTTTAAAAAATCCAAGTTTATGGATAAGCCTTGAAAAAATATTTTTAAAAAATTCACGTTTTTTTGTGGTTCTTGGAAAAATATTTTTAAAAAAACCACGTTTATTCTTAGGCCTTGAAAAAATATTTTTAAAAAATCCACGTTTATTGTTAGGCCTTAAAAATATATTTTTAAAAAATCTACGTTTATTGTTAGGCCTTGAAAAAATATTTTTAAAAAATCCACGTTTATTTGTGGTTCTTGAAAAAATATTTTTAAAAAATCCACGTTTATGGATAGACCTTGAAAAAATATTTTTAAAAAATCCACGTTTATTTGTGGTTCTTGAAAAAATATTTTTAAAAAATCCACGTTTATGGATAGACCTTGAAAAAATATTTTTAAAAAATCCACGTTTATGGATAGACCTTAAAAAAATATTTTTAAAAAATCCACGTTTATGGATAGACCTTGAAAAAATATTTTTAAAAAATCCACGTTTATTGTTAGGCCTTGAAAAAATATTTTTAAAAAATCCACGTTTATTGATGGCCATTGAAAAAATATTTTTAAAAAATCCACGTTTATATATGGGCCTTAAAAAATATTTTTAAAAAATCCTCGTTTGTTATTAGGCCTTAAAAAAATATTTTTAAAAAATTAACGATTATTGAAAGCCCCTGAAAAAATATTTTTAAAAAATCAACGTTTATATATAGGCCTTGAAAAAATATTTTTAAAAAATCCAGGTTTATATTTGAATCTTGAAAAAATATTTTTTAAAAATCAATGTTTATATATAGGCCTTGAAAAAATATTTTTTAAAAATCCAGGTTTATATTTGAATCTTGAAAAAATATTTTTAAAAAATCCACGTTTATAAGTGGGTCTTGAAAAAATATTTTTAAAAAATCCACGTTTATAAATGGACCATAAAAATATATTTTTAATTTTTTTTTTTAATTTTCGCCAAACTAATATTACATTTTCTATTTTGTAGGGTACCCAAACTGATAAGATTTCCAATTTTTTTTTTTTTTTTTTTTTTTTTTTTTTTTTTTTTTTGAAAAGAAATTAAAAATTTAAATAACAAAACAAAATTGAAATCTATTCATAGACCAAAATGTTAATGAAAACGGCGGAATGCAAAGCAAGAGAGAAAATAGATGTGGGGAAGACATATTTATTTTTTAATGCGAATATAGACCCCATTTGGCCTATGATGCCAGACAAAATGATGATGATGATGAGCAGCTGACAAAGACTCAAATCAGACAATAAGAACATCTAATAGAAGAAGACGAACGAAGTAGATTCAAATGAGATTTTTGAGACGCATTTTGAAAAAATCTAAACAACATTCAGTTGAGGCCAACAAGTTTCCGAAGCTGGAAGCGGTTTAGAGGAACTTTTTGTTGTGATATAAAAAATTTAAGACTGGACCAAAAAATTCGCCGGTTAAAAAAGAAGAAAAAATTCGCCAAAGAAAAAAAAATCCAAAAAAAAAGAAAAAAAAAAAAACCGAAATTGGGCCAGCCTGTCTGAACTCAAACCAAGAGCAGCGAAAAAGAAAAATCTCAGAATTTTTTCTTTGTTTACGTTTGCTTTCAAGGCAAAGTAGAAAAATAAATCCTTGTCCGCCATGTTAAAGCTGAGCATTGTCTTTGGCCTGCTGGCGTCCATAATCTGGCGCACCACCCCGACAAATTGTCGCCAGACACAAAATCAAACCCAGAACATCAATCAATTGGCGGCCATCAACATTGAGCGCTACATGGATGGGGAGCAGCAGCGGCCCTGCGACAACTTCTACCAGTATGCCTGTGGCAAGTGGTATCAACAGCACATCGATGAAATGGATTATGGCGATGTGTTGGGTCTGATGGACCATGAGTTGAATAAGAAATTGGAACATTTGCTAAGGAAGTCTCCCAGCGGCAGTGCGGGGGGTAGTGATGAGGCTCATCCAAGTACCACAGAGGCGGCGGGCCACCAGCCACTGGGATCCAGCATGGAAATGTCAACATTGTATAATAAAATCCGCACCTACTACAAGTCCTGCAAAAAGGTCAAGCCCTACAATTTGAAGAAATATTTACAGCTGATCCAGCCAGGTCCTGGCCTGCACTGGTATGTGTTGGCCAAACAGGGTGGCCGTAAATGGAATGCCGATAAATTCGATTGGCTGGAGGCCATTGCAAAGTTGAGGCTCTATGGCCTCAATGGGGTATTGCTAAAGGAACAGGTCCTGCCGCGCTGGGATGAATCGACGGCCATGAGTATATATTTGGATAAACCAGATTTGGCCGAAACCCTGGCCATGGGTGAGGGGGTGATCATTGAGCTGCTCATGGACATTGGCCAAACCAAACGGCTGGCCAATGAAATTGCCCGGGAGGTAAATCGTTTCGAATTCCAGCTGCACAAGCTACAGGAACTGGAGGACGAAGAGGGTCCCAAGGAAATGCAGTTGGGTTATTTGCAGGAATATATGCCACAAATCGATTGGTTGGCCTATCTGAAGGAGTTAAAGGGTCCCGATACCGATCTCAGCACCACGGTGATCATTCAAAACATCCCTTACATGCGGAGCCTGGTTAAGCTACTGAACACCGTGGAACCCTCAACGTTGTGTAATTATATTATGATCAAATTCCTGCTCTATCTCAAGACCCAGGGACCGGCAGAGATATCGAGGCAGGAGTGTATTGCCAGCCTGAGGCGGGCCATGCCACTGGCCATGAGCTATGTGGTGGGTCAACATTTCTACAAGGATGCCACCAAGACGGACATCCAGGTCCAGAAGCTGTTCGACCATCTCAAGGAGACCTTCTATGCCATTCTGTCCGACAATCGCCTTCAGCTACCCGAACCCATTGTCCAGACCCAGTTGGCAAAGATTCAGGCCATGCAGCTACGCATTGGCTTTGCTCCGCGCAATGTCACCGGCGACTATTTCAATCTCTACTACGAAAAGGTCACCCTGGATGCCAATAACTTCTATGCCAATCAGCTAAGTCTGCTAAGGCTAATGGTGGAACGCAGCCATGAGTCCTTGGATCCCATTAGCCACCAGGACATGTTAAACGATGAGGCTGTTATCTCCGCCGAATGGGTGGGCTCCTCATCTTCGCCGCTGTATTTGAAGTCCCGTAACACGGTTGTCATACCCTATGGCTTCCTCAACATGCCCATTTATCATCGGAATCTTAGGGATATATTTAAATATTCCGTCCTAGGCTTTGCCCTGGCCCATGAAATGTTACATGGTTTTGACTCGTCCGGCATAGATTATGATGCCAGCGGTAATATCATGGGTCCCAGTGAGGAAATCTCCGCCAATCAGAGGTTCATGCAGGGTTTGCGGTGCATGCAAAATGAACTGGCCACCGGTTCGAGGAGTCTCAATGAAAAACTGGCCGATTATGAAGGGATACGTCTCGCCTTCAATGCCTACTTCTCGCCAACGCGCAGCAATGAAACCACATCGACGACGACAAAACATTTGCGTTCCCGCTACCTCTCCCAGTTTACCCCACAACAGGTCTTCTTCATTAATTTTGCCCAGTTCTTTTGCGGCAAGGTCCATCCGAAATTGACCCACTCGGCCTATTTGGATCATGCCATGGATGAGCTGAGGGTCCTACAGACTTTGGCCAATTTCGAGGAGTTTTCCAAGGCATTTGGCTGTGAGAAGAGAGATAAAATGCAATCTCGACATCGCTGTAAATTGTGGTGAGAAGGGATAGCAGAGAGAGAGGAGACGATGGGAGAGTGTATATATAGCAATAGGATGTGAATATATAGCCTTTTTTTATGTAAAAATATATACGAAAATTGTGATAGAGAAAAATTAAAGAAAAATAAATAAAAGAAAAAAAAAAATAATAATTTTTAATCCTTGAAAAAATATTCTTAAAAAAATCCACGCCTTGGTGGATGGTCCTTGAAAAAATATTCTTAAAAAAATCCACGCCTTGGTGGATGGTCCTTGAAAAAATATTCTTAAAAAAATCCACGCCTTGGTGGATGGTCCTTGAAAAAATATTTTTTAAAAAATCCACGCCTTGGTGGATGGTCCTTGAAAAAATATTTTTTAAAAAATCCACGCCTTGGTGGATGGTCCTTGAAAAAATATTTTTTAAAAAATCCACGCCTTGGTGGATGGTCCTTGAAAAAATATTCTTTAAAAAATCCACGCCTTGGTGGATGGTCCTTGAAAAAATATTTTAAAAAAAAAATCCACGTCTCTGTTGGTCCTTGAAAAAATATTCTTTAAAAAATCCACGCCTTGGTGGATGGTCCTTGAAAAAATATTCTTTAAAAAAACACGTCTCTGTTGGTCCTTGAAAAAATATTCTTTAAAAAATCAACGTCTCTGTTGGTCCTTGAAAAATAAATTAAAAAGAAAAATAATTTTATTTGCCTCGACATTCCAAAAAAAGAAAATCGGATTTATAGTCCCCTATGAGGTCCTCACAATTCCCAAAAAAAAATCCCCAGAAAATATATTTTTGAACCCCCTACAAACCTCCTACAAATTTCCCCCAAATAGTTCAAATTAGAACTTCGACAAAAGTCCCTCTAATTTTCTCTGTAAAAATTTCCCGAAAAAATCAAATTTAAATCCAATCAAGATTTCCATAAAATTCCACAAAATGTAATTTTAAAATCCCACAGGAGAACTCTATAATTCCTCCAAAAAATCAACTGAAGAGTCCCTTATATCGATAATTGTGATAGACAAAAATGTAAAAAAAAATAAATAAATAAATTTCTTTGCCTCGACATTCCAAAAAAAAAACGAATTTATAGACCCCTATGAGGCCCTCATAATTCCTCAAAAAAAAATCCCCAGAAAATATATTTTTGAACTCCCTATAAACCTCCTGCAAATTTCCCCAAAAAGTTCTAACTCTACAAAAGTCCCTCAAATTTTCTCTTTAAAAATTTTCCGAAAAAATCAAATTTAAATCCAATCAAGATTTCCATAAAATTTCCCAAAATACAATTTTAAAATCCTAAAACAAAAAAAATAAATAAATAAATAAAAATAAAAATTTAAAAAAAAATGAAGAAGTAAAAATATAAATAAAAAAATGTATAAGTCCCCCAAAATATTTTTTAATATTCCCATATGAGGACCCCCCCAAAATTCCTAAAAATACCAAATTTTGAGAGCTCGGAAATGTCCTTTAAAATCCAATCATAAAAACTCTAAAATTGCCTGTAAAAATTTCCCGAGAAAATCAAAATTAAATTCAATCAAGATTTCCATAAAATTCCCCAAAATACAATTTTTAAATCCTACAGGAGAAATTAAGAGGCTCTAAAAATTCCTCCGAAAATTTAACTTATATTGAAAATTGTGATAGACAAAAATAAAAGAAAAATAAATAAAAAAATACTTTGCCTCGACATTCCTAAAAAAAGGAATTTAAAATCCCCCAGGAGACCCTCATGATTCCTCCAAAAAATCCGTGTCCGAAATTTCCTTCAACATCCAATTAAACAGCCCTACAATAGAATCTATAAATTTTTCAAAAAAAAAAAAAAAAACAAATGAATTTAAATCATATTAAGATTCCCTTAAAAAAATTACTTTGCCTTGAAATTACCAAAAAGTAGATTGTGAGACCTCCACAATTTCTCCAACTTTTAAGACCCCCAAAATTCCTTCAAATATCCAATTATTTAGCCCTACAATTGCCTGATGGCGAAAATTAGGATACACCAAAAAGAAAGAAAAATAAAAAAAAGACTAAAAAAATAATTTACTTACCCTCCACATTCCTAAAAAATCGAAAGTCAGATACGATGGCCCACAATCCCTAAAAAAATCAAACCGTCTTTCAAAAATCCCATTTTAAAGCCTAACAAGATTTTCCTGAAATTTTCCAAAAAAAAAAAAAATAAAATAAAAAATTTCGAACCCCATCAAGAGTCCCGTAAAATTCCCCAAAATTCAGCATTATAGAAACACTTAAAATTCCTCCAAAATTCCAAATTAAAATCGCGACAAAAATCCTCCACAAAACTCCAACTAAAATCTCATAAAAAATATCCATAAATTTCCTCCAAAAACTAGACAAAAATCCTTCTAAAAGCACCACAAAATTCCTTCAAAAATCGATCTTAAAACGTCTTCAGGTGTCGTTTTAAATTCAATAACCACAATTCCTTAAATATTACTCTGAAAACACAACCTAAAACCTTGGAGGAGTATCTAGAAAATTTCTTAAAAAAATACAAAAGAAATTCAATACAGAGTCCTCTGAATTTTCTTTAAAAAAATCCAAAAAAAAAAAAAAAAAAACGCCTACAAAGGTTTCTTCCAAAATCTACTAAGTCAAATCCAAAAAAAAAAAAACCTAAAAAAGTCCTCTAAATTTTCTTAAAATAATCCAAATAGAAACGCCTACAAAAGTTTTCTCCAAAAATAAGATATAAAACTCTTATAAGAATACGCCGAAAGTCACTACAGAGCCCTCTGAATTTTCTTAAAAAAAAAACCTGCAAAAATTTTTTTTCAAAATCTAGACTCTTAAAAATAAATCGAAAATTCCTCAAAAAAAATCCAATTTTAAAGCGCTACAAGATTTTCCTGAAATTTTCCAAAAAAAAAAAAAAAAAAAAAAAAAAAAAAAAAAAATGTATATATTCTCAAATTTCCTCCAAAAACTAGACAAAAATCCTTTTAAAAGCACCCCAAAATTCCTTCAAGAATCGATCTTAAAATGTCTACAGGTGTAGCTTTAAATTCAATAACTACAATTCCTTAAATATTACTCTAAAAACACGATCTAGAACCTTAGAAGAGTATCTAGAAAATCTCTTAAAAAATACAAAAGAAATTCACTACAGAGTCCTGTGCATTTTCTTTAAAAAAAATCCAAAAAAAAAGCCTACGAAACTTTCTTCCAAAATCTAGACCCTTAAAAACAAACCGAAAGTTCCTCAAAAAAAAAAAAAAAAAAAAAAAAAAAAAATCTTAAACCTCTTAAAATTTTGTTCGAAAAGTTCTACTGAAACTAAGTCAAATCCAAAAAAAAAAAAACCTAAAAAAGTCCTCTAAATTTTCTTAAAATAATCCAAATAGAAACGCCTACAAAAGTTTTCTCCAAAAATAAGATACAAAACTCCTATAAGAATACGCCGAAAGTCACTACAGAGCCCTCTGAATTTTCTTTTAAAAAAACCTGCAAAAATTTTCTTCAAAATCTAGACCCTTAAAAATAAAACGAAAATTCCTCAAAAAAATCCAATTTTCAAAAATCCAATTTTAAAGCGCTACAAGATTTTCCTGAAATTTTCCAAAAAAAAAAAAAAAAATTATTCTCAAATTTCCTCCAAAAACTAGACAAAAATCCTTTTAAAAGCACCCCAAAATTCCTTCAAGAATCGATCTTAAAACGTCTTCAGGTGTCGTTAAATTCAATAACTACAATTCCTTAAATATTACTCTGAAAACACAACCTAAAACCTTGGAAGAGTATCTAGAAAATCTCTTAAAAAATGCAAAAGAAATTCACTACAGAGTCCTCTGAATTTTCTTTAAAAAATCAAAAAAGCCTACAAAAGTTTCTTCCAAAATCTAGACTTAAAAAAAACGAAAATTCCTCCAAAAAAAAAAAAAAAAAAAAAAAAAATAATCCACTTAAAAATTTGTTCGACAAGTTCAACTGAAACCCCCTAATAAGTCAAATCAAAAAAAATATATTAAAAAAGTCCAAAAGTTTCCTTCAAAAATTGGATATAAAACTCCTAGAAATCTAGACCCTTAAAAACAAAGCGAAAATTCCTAAAAAAAAAGCACTTAAAAATTCATTCGAAACGTTCAACAGAAACCCCCTACTAAGTCAAATCAACCGAAATTCCTACAAGAATCAACCTTAAGGAGTGCGGCTAAAAAGTCCCTTAATACTACTTCTGGAAAATCAACATTATTTTCTTAAAAAAAAAATACTCCAAAGACATAGCCTAAAACCCGAGTCTCTATAAAATCCCTCAAAAATTCCCTACAAAAGTCCTTTTACATTTCTGCAATAAATCAAATTTTAATTCTTACTACATTCCAACCTAGTCTCCCTTTAAAAAAATCCACTTTAAAATATCAAAAAGAGGTCTCTAAATTTTGTCCAAAATTTAACTTAGAGGCCTTGCCAAATTTCCTCAAAACTCCACTTGAAAACCTCTTCATTAGTCCATTAGAATTTCTCGAAACAGACAACTGTAAACCTGTACCAGAGTCACCTAGAATTCCTGGGGAAAATAAATCTCAAAACCCATACAATGGCTATTTAAAATTTCCCAAAAAAAAAAAAAAAAAACATCCAAGTTAGAACTATTAACCTAATAGACCCCGAAAATACAACCGAAGTTCCTCTGGAATATTCCTTAAAAAACTTATGCTAGTTCGAAGAAATGCTTTCAAAAATAAAAAAATAAATAAATAAATAAAAAAAATAAATAAATAAATAAAATAAATTTAAAGCAACAATTTTTGAACCCCCTACAAAATTTGTAAACATTTCCCTAAGAGTTCAACTTAGAACCTGCTAATTTTCTCAAAAAAAAGTCCAACATAAAAGACCTTCAAAAGTTTTTCCCATAAAAATAATCCGAAAATCTTACTCTAAATCTCTGTAAGATTTCCTTTTATTGTCTTTCTAAGATTCAACCTAAATTCCAAAAAAAAAAATCAACTCAAAAATCTCCAAAAATATTTTAAAACTCCTAAACTCTCCTAAAATATTTTAAAAACAAAAGTTTTTTTTTTCAAAAGAAAATAATAATAATTTAATAAATAAATAAAATGAATAAAAGCAATATAGAAATTCTCTTACATAAAATCCATACCTTAAGTCTTACATAAGCTTCCGAAAAAATCTTCAAAAATCCACATTAAAAGCTCTAGATGAGTCTTAAAAATATCCACCTTCAGAGGGCGTTACGGGTCCTCAAACTTCCGTTTTGAAATCAGTGCTTAAAGGACGATATGAGTCTCTCAATATTCCTTTTAGAAGGTAACATAAGTCCCTCAACAAATACTTTCCACGGCCACGATTAAAGAGCCTGTATTTGTTTCCCAAAATTCCCTTTAAAACCCCATACCTAGAGGGTGACACAAGTCTCTTAGAATTCCTTTTAAAAATCCACGACTGGTCCCTCAAAGTCAGTCTACACAATCTCCAAAAAACCACATTGAAAGCTTATATGAGTCTTAAAAAAATCACCTTCAGAGGGCGTTACAGGTCCTTCAAAATTCCGTTTTTGAAAACTATGCTTAAAAGACGATATGAGTCTCTCAAAATTTGTTTTACAAGGCGAAAAAATTCACTCGAAATGCCTTTTAAACATCAACTTTTAAAGTCCTGCATTTTTCCCTAAAAAATTCCATTTAAAAAGTCATATCTAGAGGGCCACATAAGTTCCTCAAAATTAATTACAAAAATCCACGCTTAAAAGGCCTCTATTTGTTCCCCAAAATTCCCTATAAAAATCCAAATCTAGAGGATCAAAAAATTACCTTAAACTTCCTTGTAAAAATTCGTATGTAGAGGGCGAAATCGTTTTTCAAAATCCACGATTGGTTACTTAAAAATCTCTCTACACAACCTTCACACACCACATTTAAAGCTCTATATGAGTCTTAAAAAATCCACCGTCAGATGACGTTACAGGTCCCTCAAAAAACCTTCTTGAAATCTACGTTTATGTTTGCGGTATGAGTCTCTCAATTTTATAAGAATGCGACATGACTCCCTCAAAATTCATTTCAAGTATTCTTGTTTAAAGGGCAGTATTTAATAACCAAAATTCCCTTTAAAACTAGAGGGCGAAAAGGTACTTCTGAGTTCATTTTTAGAATCCATATCTAGAGGGCGACACAAGTCCCTAAGAAATCCATTTAAAAAACCGCGATAAGTTGATTCAAAATATGAATCTCTCAAAATTTATTTAAGAGCACAAAACAGGTTCTTCAAAAAAAAAAAAAAAAAACAAGTTTAAGAGCCCCTCTCCTAACTTCCCTTTAAAATACATAGCTAGAGACCGACATAAGAATTGAGGGTCTCATACCGCCATCTAAACGTAAATTTCAAAATGGTAGTTTGAAATCTGAAAATCCACGAAATCAGAAATTATTTTAAAATCCACGATTAGAGGACGTTATAAGCAAAGTAAAATTCTTTTGGAAAATCCACGAAAAGAGAGGCCGAAATTCTTTTTAAAATCCACATCTAGAGGACGTTATGTGTTCCTCGGAATTCTTTTGAAAAATTCACGTTTAGAGGCCATTATAAGTACCTCAGAATTATTTTCTAAGTCCCTAAAAGCCTTTAAGAACTCCTTTTTAAAATCCACGCGATAAAAATGCACATCTAGAGGGCGTCACAGGTACCTCCAAATTCATTTTAAAACCTACAACTAGAGGACGTCGACAACTAGAGGCGACATAAACCCCTGCAATTTCTTTTTAAATTCCACAGGAAGTTGTGAGTCACTCGGAATTCCTTTGAAAAATTCACGTTTAGATGGTGTTATGAGTACTTCAGCATTCCTTTTAAAAGTCCATATCTAGAGGGCTTCTAAGTCTGTAAAAAATACCTTTTAAAATCAGCGAATTAGTGGCGATAAAAATACACATATAGAGGGCGTTATAAATACCTCAGAATTTATTTAAAAATCCACAACTAGTGGACGTTGTAAGCACCGTAAAATTCCGTTGAAAAATTCACGTAAAGAAAGTAACATAGATCACCGAACATGCTTTTTAAAATTCGCACCTGAAGGACTGTATAAATACCTCTAAATTCCTTTCAAAAATTCACATCTACTGGGCGCTATGAGTACTTCAGAACTTCTTTTAAAAATCCACATCAAGAGGGCGACACAAGTCCCTAAGAATTCCTTTTTAAAATCCACAATTATGGGGTTATAAAGCACACATATAGAGAGCGTTATAAGTACCTCAGAATTAATTCTAAAATCCACGTCTAGAGGGCAGCATCAGTCCATCGAAATTTCTTTTAAAAATCCACATAAAGAGAGCTACATAAATCACTGTATTTTTTTAAAAATCCACGTTTAGAGGACGGACCCTCGAAATTCCTTCAAAAAATCCAAGTAAAGAGAACAACAGAAGTCCTTGAACATTCTTTTCTATAGACAACTTTGAGACCTCCAACTTCTTCGTAGGCAAACTTTTGTGTAGACAAGTTTCAGCCCTCAAACTTTTCTGTAGATAAGTTTGAATCCTCAAACTTCTCTGTGGACAAGTCTGAAACATCAAACTTCTCTGCAGACAAGTTTGAGCCCTCAAACTTTTCTAGAAACAAGTTTGAGCCAACAAACCTATCTGTAGCCAAGTTTGATACCTCAAACTTTTCTGCAAATAAGTTTCAGTCCTTAAACTTTTCTCTGGGCAACTTTTCTACAGACAATTTTGAGCCTTCAACCTTTCCGTAGACAAGTGTCAAACCTCAAACTTCTCTGTGGACAAGTTTGAGTCTTCCATCTTTTCTGTGGAAAAAATTGAGCCCTCAAACTTTTCTGGGGACAAGCTAGAGACCTCAAAACTTTCTGTAGACAAGTTTGAGATCTCAAACATTTGAGATCTCAAACATTTAAGATCTCAAACCTTTCAACAGAATAGTTTGAGATTTTATACTATTCGATAGATAAGTTTGGGACATCAAACTTTTCTGAAGACAAGTTAGAGACCCCAAAGATTGAGATTTTAAATTTTTTCTATAGAAAAATCTAAGACTTTCGACTTTCCCGAAAAATAGGTGACCTCAATATTTTTTGTAGACAAGTTTTGGATCTCAAACTTTTCTCCCAAAAAGTTTGAGTCCTCAAACTTTTCTGTGGACAAGATTGAGCCTTCAAACTTTTCGGTGGACAAGTTTGGGCCCTCAAACTTTCTGTAGATCAGTTTGAACCCTCAAACTTTTCTCCAAATAAGTTTGAGTCCTCAATCTTTTCTGTATTCAAATCTGAGTCCTTAAACTTTTCTGTAGACATATTTGAGTATCCAACGTTTTCTATAAACATGTTTGAAACCTCAAAATTTTCTGTACACAATTTCGAGCCCTCAAACACATCTGCATTTCTTTTAGTTCATTTTTAAAATCTACATTTGCAGAGTTATATGATTCGCTCAAAATTTGTTTTTGAAACTCACATTTGGAGGACGTTACAGCCTCTCAAAATTATTTTTTAGAATTCAAGATATGATGAGGTTTAGGTCCCTTAAAAAAAATCAATCTAAAAATTCAGTTCTAGATGGCGAAAGGACTTCTCAAAATCCCTTTCAAATATCCACATTAAGAGGGCGCTTAGTGTCCCCCAACAAATTCGCTCAAATATCAAACCTCTCATAAAAATAAAATCCAAACAAAAATTACACACACTTTTCAAATACTCACTTATATTTATACGAATCTGTGATCATTTGATCATTCTCTCTGGTCCAGTAGTTCAGCGATGTGGGATTCGCTTCAATAAAACACTCCAGCGTCGTATTGAAATACATTGGCACACCGACTAATTGATGGGGTATCGACACCATGGGAGAGACTAAAGAAAGAGACAAAGAAGAAGGAAAGAAAATTGGTCAACAAACACACAACTGGCAATCATCGAAATGCAGAATGAAATCGAAATAAGAGAGAACTAAACGGAGAATACGTGCTTGCACAACAATTAATTTACAACGCGAACAACAACAGCAACAACGAAACATGTCTCAGAGGTAATTATCGGTTTTGTGTGGCTGAGAAATGCCTCTGGGATGGAGGTGGAAAATTGATTATAGGTGGGTTTTTTTGGACAAGGGATTTTAAAATATTTCTGTTAAAGAAGTTGTCCAGAGCCGTCAAACTTTTCTAGAGGCAAGATTGAGACTTCAAACTTTTCTGGAGACAAGATTGAGACTTCAAACTTTTCTGGAGATAAGTTTGAGACCTCAAACTTTTCTGGAGACAAGTTTGAGACCTCAAACTTTTCTAGAGACAAGTTTGAGAGCTCAAACTTTTTGGGAGACAATTTTGAGACCTCAGACTTTTCTAGAGACAAGTTAGACACCTCAGACTTTTCTAGAGACAAGTTTGAGAGCTCAAACTTTTCGGGAGACAAGTTTGAGACCTCAGACTTTTCTAGAGACAAGTTAGACACCTCAGACTTTTCTAGAGACATGTTTGAGACGTCAAACTTTTCTAGAGATAAGTTTGAGACCTCAAACTTTTCTAGAGACAAGTTTGAGACCTCAAACTTTCCTAGAGACAAGTATGAGACCTCAAACTTTCCTCAAGATAAGTTTGAGTTCTTAAACTTTCCTGGAGACGATTTTGAAACCTCAAACTTTTCTATAGACAAGTTTGCGACGTCAAACTTTTCTGGAGACATGTTTGCGACGTCAAACTTTTCTAGAGACAAGTTTGAGACCTCAAACTTTCCTGGAGCCAAGCTTGAGAACTCAAACTTTTCTGGAGACAAATTTGAGACCTCAAACTTTTCTAGAGACAAGTTTGAGACCTCAAACTTTTCTAGAGACAAGTTTGAGACCTCAATTTTTTCTAGAGTCAAGTTTGAGACCTCAAACTTTTATAGAGACTAGTTTGAGAACTCAAACTTTTTTGTAGATAAGTTTTAGACCTCAAACTTTTCTAGAGACAAGTTTCAGACCTCAAACTTTTCTAGAGACAAGTTTCAGACCTCAAACTTTTCTAGAGACAAGTTTGAGATATCAAACTTGTTTAGAGACAAGTTTGAGAGCTCAATTTTTTTTTGTAGATAAGTTTGAGACCTCAAAATTTTCTGGAGACAAGTTTGAGAGCTCAAACTTTTCTAGAGACAAGTTTGAGACCTCAAACTTTTCTGGAGACAAGTTTGAGACCTCAAACTTTTCTGGAGACCAGTTTGAGATCTCAAAATTTTCTGGAGACAAGTTTGAGACCTCAAACTTTTCTGGAGACAAGATTGAGACCTCAAACTTTTCTGGAGACAAGTTTGAGACCTCAAAATTTTCTGGAGACAAGTTTGAGACCTCAAACTTTTCTGGAGACAAGTTTGAGACCTCAAACTTTTCTGGAGACAAGTTTGAGACCTCAAAATTTTCTGGAGACAAGTTTGCGACGTCAAACTTTTCTGGAGACATGTTTGCGACGTCAAACTTTTCTAGAGACAAGTATGAGACCTCAAACTTTCCTCAAGATAAGTTTGAGTTCTTAAACTTTCCTGGAGACGATTTTGAAACCTCAAACTTTTCTATAGACAAGTTTGCGACGTCAAACTTTTCTGGAGACATGTTTGCGACGTCAAACTTTTCTAGAGACAAGTTTGAGAGCTCAAACTTTTCTGGAGACAAGATTGAGACCTCAAACTTTTCTGGAGACAAGTTTGAGACCTCAAAATTTTCTGGAGACAAGTTTGAGACCTCAAACTTTTCTGGAGACAAGTTTGAGACCTCAAACTTTTCTAGAGACAAGTTTGAGACCTCAAACTTTTCTAGAGACAAGTTTGAGGCCTCAAATTTTTCTGTGGACAGGTTTGAGACTTCAAACATATTTGTAGACAAGTTTGAGACCTCCAACTTTTTTGTGGACATGGTTGAGCCCTCAAACTTTTCTGTAGAAGAGTTTACGACCTCAAACTCTTCCACACCTAACAAATTTCTGCAGTTGGAGCTTGAGTTCGCACGAAACCACACCTATTGTCAACAAATGTGACAAGCTGATTGGCACGTCTTCTCAAAAAACAAACTGGCACACACACACAAACATTGTTTCCGCATTACAACAACTTACAGTCAACGCTAACTTTAATACGTTTCGATACACTGGGTGGCACACCGTTTGTGGCTATGCACAAATAAGCTCCCATGTGGAGACGTGAGATACGTTCCAATTCCAGAGTTTCACCTTCAACTTCGCTAACTACAAAAGGAAGTAGGAAGAAGTTCAAGAAAAAAGGAAAACCGAGAAAAAGGTTAGAAAAATAACATAATCGGAAAAAAGGTAAAGGGGATTTACTCTCCTTACCTTCATTGCTTTTGTTGAGGACAATTTTCAAACCATCATCACGTTTCCATCGTATGGCAGGTTCGGGACTACCTTTCGCCTTGCAGCGCAAGGTGACGTTGTCACCTTCCCTCACGATTACATCACTGGAGGTCAATGCATCGTCAATGTTGGGCGGAACTGTAAAGAAAAATAAAATCAACAACGATTTGTTAATTAGTTACGCATGATTAATGTTGAGATAAGACGATAACCCCTTCCCGCCCCTCCCTTCACCAATGAGATAAAATGACCCGTTTAAAAAAGAAAGATGTTTAATTTGGCTGAGCCTCTGAAATTAGATTCAGTGGAGAGCCAGAGTGGAGAAAACAGGTTTTCAATTCATAACTCGATGATTGTTGCTTGCGTAATTCGGCCACGAACAATGCTAAGCCATGAGACAAGCACCTGCTTTCTTTGTATCTGTGAGATTCCCACATATTTCTCTGAGCTCTGATTTAATTCCGGAAGCTTTTGCATATAAATTGCCTCATCAAATTTGTTAATTAAAATATTTAGTGGGTTAAATACGGTCAAACTCCAAATATGTGTGTCAATTACATTATTTGGCGTCACGGATTCGATTTATAATTTTAATTGGGTTATTTTGGCTTTTGGGGTAACGGTGACAAGTTAAAATTGGCTGGATTAAAATTGGATTAAGTTAAAAAAATTTTAAATGTTGGATTTAAATAATCGACATTATCAAAAGCTCTTGATAAAAGATATTAAAAAATAAATTCTTTGTCGGGTAGGACTTGAAAAAATTTTTTTAAAAAATCCACGTTCATTAATAGCCCTTGAAAAAATATTTTTAAAAAACCCACGTTCATTAATAGCCCTTGAAAAAATATTTTTAAAAAACCCACGTTCATTAATAGCCCTTGAAAAAATATTTTTAAAAAATCCACGTTCATTAATAGCCCTTGAAAAAATATTTTTAAAAAATCCACGTTCATTAATAGCCCTTGAAAAAATATTTTTAAAAAATCCACGTTTATTGTTAGGCCTTGAAAAAATATTTTTAAAAAATCCACGTTCATTAATAGCCCTTGAAAAAATATTTTTAAAAAATCCACGTTCATTAATAGCCCTTGAAAAAATATTTTGAAAAAATCCACGTTCATTAATAGCCCTTGAAAAAATATTTTTAAAAAATCCACGTTCATTAATAGCCCTTGAAAAAATATTTTTAAAAAACCCACGTTCATTAATAGCCCTTGAAAAAATATTTTTAAAAAACCCACGTTCATTAATAGCCCTTGAAAAAATATTTTTAAAAAATCCACGTTCATTAATAGCCCTTGAAAAAATATTTTTAAAAAATCCACGTTCATTAATAGCCCTTGAAAAAATATTTTTAAAAAATCCACGTTTATTGTTAGGCCTTGAAAAAATATTTTTAAAAAATCCACGTTCATTAATAGCCCTTGAAAAAATATTTTTAAAAAATCCACGTTCATTAATAGCCCTTGAAAAAATATTTTTAAAAAATCCACGTTCATTAATAGCCCTTGAAAAAATATTTTTAAAAAATCCACGTTCATTAATAGCCCTTGAAAAAATATTTTTAAAAAACCCACGTTCATTAATAGCCCTTGAAAAAATATTTTTAAAAAATCCACGTTCATTAATAGCCCTTGAAAAAATATTTTTAAAAAATCCACGTTTATTAATAGCCCTTGAAAAAATATTTTTAAAAAATCCACGTTCATTAATAGCCCTTGAAAAAATATTTTTAAAAAATCCACGTTCATTAATAGCCCTTGAAAAAATATTTTTAAAAAATCCACGTTTATTGTTAGGCCTTGAAAAAATATTTTTAAAAAATCCACTTTTGTGGATGGTGCTTGAAAAAATATTTTTAAAAAATCCACGTTTATGGATGGTGCTTGAAAAAATATTTTTAAAAAATCCACGTTTATGGATGGTGCTTGAAAAAATATTTTTAAAAAATCCACGTTTATGGATGAGCCTTGAAAAAATATTTTTAAAAAATCCACGTTTATGGATGGTGCTTGAAAAAATATTTTTAAAAAATCCACGTTTATGGATGAGCCTTGAAAAAATATTTTTAAAAAATCCACGTTTATGGATGGTGCTTGAAAAAATATTTTTAAAAAATCCACGTTTATGGATGAGCCTTGAAAAAATATTTTTAAAAAATCCACGTTTATGTAAGACCTTCTAAAAATATTTTTAAAAAATCCACGTCTATGTAAGACCTTCTAAAAATATTTTTAAAAAATCCACCTTTATGGATGAGCCTTGAAAAAATATTTTTAAAAAATCCACGTTTATGGATGGTGCTTGAAAAAATATTTTTAAAAAATCCACGTTTATGGATGAGCCTTGAAAAAATATTTTTAAAAAATCCACGTTTATGGATGGTGCTTGAAAAAATATTTTTAAAAAATCCACGTTTATGGATGAGCCTTGAAAAAATATTTTTAAAAAATCCACGTTTATGGATGGTGCTTGAAAAAATATTTTTAAAAAATCCACGTTTATGGATGGTGCTTGAAAAAATATTTTTAAAAAATCCACGTTTATTAATAACCCTTGAAAAAATATTTTTAAAAAATCCACGTCTATATTTGAGGCTTGAAAAAATATTTTTAAAAAATTAATGTTTATAAATGGGCCTTGAAAAAATATTTTTAAAAAATTAATGTTTATAAATGGGCCTTGAAAAAATATTTTTAAAAAATCTACGTTAATTGGTGACCCATGAAAAAATATTTTTAAAAAATCCACGTTTATGGATAGTCCTTGAAAAAATATTTTTAAAAAATCCACGTTCATTAATAGCCCTCATTAATAGCCCTTGAAAAAATATTTTTAAAAAATCCACGTTCATTAATAGCCCTTGAAAAAATATTTTTAAAAAATTCACGTTCATTAATAGCCCTTGAAAAAATATTTTTAAAAAATCCACGTTCATTAAAAGCCCTTGAAAAAATATTTTTAAAAAATTCACGTTCATTAATAGCCCATGAAAAAATATATTTAAAAAATCCACGTTCATTAATAGCCCTTGAAAAAATATTTAAAAAAAAAAACACGTTTATGGATGAGCCTTGACACAATATTTAAAAAAAAAATATGTTTAAAAAATCCACGTTCATTAAAAGCCCTTGAAAAAATATTTTTAAAAAATTCACGTTCATTAATAGCCCATGAAAAAATATATTTAAGAAATCCAAGTTCATTAATAGCCCTTGAAAAAATATTTAAAAAAAAAAACACGTTTATGGATGAGCCTTGACACAATATTTAAAAAAAAAATATGTTTAAAAAATCCACGTTTATGGATGCGCCTTGAAAAAATATGTTTAAAAAATCCACGTTTATGGATGAGCCTTGAAAAAATATTTTTAAAAAATCCACGTTTATGGATGAGCCTTGAAAAATTTTTTTTAAAAAATTTACGTTTATGGATGAGCCTTGAAAAATTATTTTTAAAAAATCCACGTTTATTGTTAGGCCTTTAAAAAATATTTTTAAAAAATCCACGTTTATTGTTAGGCCTTGAAAAAATATATTTAAAAAATCCACGTTTATTATTAGGCCTTGAAAAAATATATTTAAAAAATCCACGTTTATTGTTAGGCCTTGAAAAAATATTTTTAAAAAATCCACGTTTATTGTTAGGCCTTGAAAAAATATTTTTAAAAAATCCACGTTTATTGTTAGGCCTTGAAAATATATTTTTAAAACATCCACGTTTATGGGTGAGCCTTGAAAATATATTTTTAAAAAATCCACGTTTATGGATGAGTCTTGAAAAAATATTTTTAAAAAATCCACGTTTATGGATGAGCCTTGAAAAAATATTTTTAAAAAATCCACGTTTATGGATGAGCCTTGAAAAAATATTTTTAAAAAATCCACGTTTATGGATGAGGCTTGAAAAAATATTTTTAAAAAATCCACGTTTATGGATGAGGCTTGAAAAAATATTTTTAAAAAATCCACGTTTATATATGGGCCTTGAAAAAATATTTTTAAAAAATCCACGTTTATATATGGGCCTTGAAAAAATATTTTTAAAAAATCCACGTTTATATATGGGCCTTGAAAAGATATTTTTAAAAAATCCACGTTAATTAATAGCCCTTGAAAAAATATTTTTAAAAAGTCCACGTTTATTGATAGTGCTTGAGAAAATATTTTTAAAAAATCCACGTTTATCAATAACCCTTGAAAAAATATTTTTGAAAAATCCACGTTTATCAATAACCCTTGAAAAAATATTTTTAAAAAATCCACGTTTATGGATGAGCCTTGAAAAAATATTTTTAAAAATCCACGTTTATGGATGAGCCTTGAAAAAATATTTTTAAAAAATCCACGTTTATGGATGAGCCTTGAAAAAATATTTTTAAAAAATCCACGTTTATCTATAACCCTTGAAAAAATATTTTTAAAAAATCCACGTTTATCAATAACCCTTGAAAAAATATTTTTTAAAAAATCCACGTTTATGGATGAGCCTTGAAAAAATATTTTTAAAAAATCCACGTTTATGGATGAGCCTTGAAAAAATATTTTTAAAAAATCCACGTTTATGGATGGTGCTTGAAAAAATATTTTTAAAAAATCCACGTTTATTAATAACCCTTGAAAAAATATTTTTAAAAAATCCACGTCTATATTTGAGGCTTGAAAAAATATTTTTAAAAAATTAATGTTTATAAATGGGCCTTGAAAAAATATTTTTAAAAAATCCACGTTTATGGATGAGCCTTGAAAAAATATTTTTAAAAAATCCACGTTTATGGATGGTGCTTGAAAAAATATTTTTAAAAAATCCACGTTTATGGATGAGCCTTGAGAAAATATTTTTAAAAAATCCACGTTTATGGATGGTGCTTGAAAAAATATTTTTAAAAAATCCACGTTAATCAATAACCCTTGAAAAAATATTTTTAAAAAATCCACGTTTATGGATGAGCCTTGAAAAAATATTTTTAAAAAATCCACGTTTATCAATAACCCTTGAAAAACTATTTTTTAAAAATCCACGTTTATGGATGGTGCTTGAAAAAATATTTTTAAAAAATCCACGTTTATTAATAACCCTTGAAAAAATATTTTTAAAAAATCCACGTCTATATTTGAGGCTTGAAAAAATATTTTTAAAAAATTAATGTTTATAAATGGGCCTTGAAAAAATATTTTTAAAAAATCCACGTTTATGGATGAGCCTTGAAAAAATATTTTTAAAAAATCCACGTTTATGGATGGTGCTTGAAAAAATATTTTTAAAAAATCCACGTTTATGGATGAGCCTTGAAAAAATATTTTTAAAAAATCCACGTTTATGGATGGTGCTTGAAAAAATATTTTTAAAAAATCCACGTTTATTAATAACCCTTGAAAAAATATTTTTAAAAAATCCACGTCTATATTTGAGGCTTGAAAAAATATTTTTAAAAAATTAATGTTTATAAATGGGCCTTGAAAAAATATTTTTAAAAAATCCACGTTTATTGATGAGCCTTGAAAAAATATTTTTAAAAAATCCACGTTTATGGATGGTGCTTGAAAAAATATTTTTAAAAAATCCACGTTTATGGATGAGCCTTGAAAACATATTTTTAAAAAATCCACGTTTATGGATGGTGCTTGAAAAAATATTTTTAAAAAATCCACGTTAATCAATAACCCTTGAAAAAATATTTTTAAAAAATCCACGTTTATGGATGAGCCTTGAAAAAATATTTTTAAAAAATCCACGTTTATGGATGAGCCTTGAAAAAATATTTTTAAAAAATCCACGTTGAAAAAATATTTTTTTTTGCTTGAAAAAATATTTTTAAAAAATCCACGTTTATGGATGAGCCTTGAAAAAATATTTTTAAAAAATCCACGTTTATGGATGGTGCTTGAAAAAATATTTTTAAAAAATCCACGTTTATGGATGAGCCTTGAAAAAATATTTTTAAAAAATCCACGTTTATGGATGGTGCTTGAAAAAATATTTTTAAAAAATCCACGTTTATGGATGAGCCTTGAAAAAATATTTTTAAAAAATCCACGTTTATGGATGGTGCTTGAAAAAATATTTTTAAAAAATCCACGTTTATTAATAACCCTTGAAAAAATATTTTTAAAAAATCCACGTCTATATTTGAGGCTTGAAAAAATATTTTAAAAAAATTAATGTTTATAAATGGGCCTTGAAAAAATATTTTTAAAAAATCCACGTTTATGGATGAGCCTTGAAAAATATTTTTAAAAAATCCACGTTTATGGATGGTGCTTGAAAAAATATTTTTAAAAAATCCACGTTTATGGATGAGCCTTGAAAAAATATTTTTAAAAAATCCACGTTTATGGATGGTGCTTGAAAAAATATTTTTAAAAAATCCACGTTAATCAATAACCCTTGAAAAAATATTTTTAAAAAATCCACGTTTATGGATGAGCCTTGAAAAAATATTTTTAAAAAATCCACGTTTATGGATGGTGCTTGAAAAAATATTTTTAAAAAATCCACGTTAATCAATAACCCTTGAAAAAATATTTTTAAAAAATCCACGTTTATGGATGAGCCTTGAAAAAATATTTTTAAAAAATCCACGTTTATGGATGAGCCTTGAAAAAATATTTTTAAAAAATCCACGTTTATGGATGAGCCTTGAAAAAATATTTTTAAAAAATCCACGTTTATGGATGAGCCTTGAAAAAATATTTTTAAAAAAATCCACGTTTATTGTTAGGCCTTGCAAAAATATTTTTAAAAAATCCACGTTTATTGTTCGACCTTGAAAAATATTTTTAAAAAGTCCACGTTTATGGATGAGGTTTGAAAAATTATTTTTAAAAAATCCACGTTTGTGGATGAGCCTTGAAAAAATATTCTTGAAAAATCCACGTTTATAGATGAGACTTGAAAAAAATATTTTAAAAATAATCCACGTTTATGGATGAGCCTTGAAAAAATATTTTTAAAAAATCCACGTTTATGGATGAGCTTTGAAAAAATATTTTTAAAAAATCCACGTTTATGGATGATCCTTGAAAACATATTTTTAAAAAATCCACGTTTGTGGATGAGCCTTGAAAAAAATATTTTTAAAAAATCCAAGTTTATGGATGAGCCTTGAATTTTTTTTTTAAATCCACGTTTAGGGATGAGCTTTGGAAAAATATTTTTAAAAAATCCACGTATATTAATATCCCTTTGAAAATATTTTTAAAAAATCCACGTTTATTAATAGAACTTTGAAAAATATTTTTAAAAACTCACGTTTATTGTTCGACCTTGAAAGATATTTTTAAAAAATCCACGATAATTGTTAGGCATTGGAAACATATTTTTAAAAAATTTATTGAGACAATCCAGTTTTATTTTATTTCATAAATATTATAATTATTTTGTAAATTATACTTTTAGATATTTCCTTTTTTAATAAAATCTACATTTCTCTCTAGGATTCATTTTACTGCCCAACGGACATTGAAACGTCTCCGAAAACTCCTTCAGATTTGAGACAATTTGATTTAAGCGCATGGGTGGTGTGTCATGTTCATCATCAAAATCCTGCCGCTTAACACAAAAGAATTGCGAAAGATTTAGGAAAAATAATTTCTTCCAGGACACATCAGAAAATTTCACAATTGTCCCACTGTACTCTGAACTGTAGGCCCGCCACGCCACTCGGGTGCCCAAAAAATCGGCAATACGTTCATCAATGGAGGTTGTGGGATGTTGTGTCTGCATACATGTTAGGGATTGGGAAACTTCCGATTTTTGCTGGAAGTGGGGAAAAGTGTCCTCCCATTCCTCCAACGATGTGGGATCAATGGCGTGGGTCAGCTCATGGCCCAAAATGGTGCCGAATGCGGAATATAAAAGCAAGGGATGTAAGTGTATGTCATAGAGAGGTGGTTTGAGGGTCCCAAAGGGTATGGTGATCATATTCTGCGACCGGTCATAGTAGGGTATGTGATCGGGATCCTCACGACAGCTGAGAAAGGCAGGACACTTCAGCTGATCCATAACCGAGTGCTGCTTGACAGCCAAGTGGTTGCGGTAGTAATCGTTCACATCCATCTCTGGAATATCTTGATAGAAATCCTCCAGAATATTGGAGTGTAAGTTCCGGGGGAGATTTCCCACATTTATGGAGACATTGGCCAATTTTTCCTGAATCCTTTGCAGTTGTCTGCGATTGAAATTCAAAGGATTTTCATTGAGAATTTCCACGAAATATTTATAGATTTTCTTGGTCATGCCTGAGATATGGCTGTTCAAATCCATCGCCTGAGGTTGGTAGCGATACTTGTGGTATAGGCTATGAAAGACAAAGGGCATGTGGTTCAGGACATTTATCCTGCAGCCAAAGCTGTGTTCCCTCTTCAGTACCATCATGAATTTGGTGAGGAGATAATTACAAAATTTCCTCACATCCTGGCTGGGCCATTTCAGGGATAACAGATATTTGTAATAATTCTCGTTGGCAAAGGCCAACAGGGGTTTCTCCTGGCGTAGCTTTAGGGGCAGGGCCTTGGTGAGGAATTTATAAAATTTGGGATATAACAAACGAAATTCGAGCAGGGTAAAACCCTCATCATCTTCCTCCTCTTTTTTCCCCTCTTCATCCTCCTCATCCTGGGATTTTGTAAAATTCTGATAAATCATTTGCCAATGGTTTTGGGTTTCAAAAATTTCCTCGGCAAATTTTTCTCCAGCTTCTTTGGCAAAGCCAAGTTTTTCCAACACCTTCCTGATGTGGTCCATTTCCATGTATTGCACATCTGGAACGCTAAAGAGCACAACCAATTGGCCATTGTCCAAATACAGCGGAATTACTTTTACCAATTCATTGTTGAGGCCGAGACCATGCAACTTCCCCAATAAACCAAAAAATTCCAACTGTCTTAAACGGAATTTTCGGGAATTTCCAGGAGCATGCAGCTCCTCTATTAGGGGCCAGGACAAATTTGTAGAGGGTTTAAGGATCTCCAGAAATTTCCTGAAATCCAAAGTGTTATTAACACCATCGCAGGAGTAGTAAAAATTCAAGGCCTTTTCCAATGCCCCTCCCCTAGCCAAATTCTGCAAAGTGCTTCTGGGATAGTGCTTTTCAATAATATCCTCCATATCCTCGGCATATTTACCCTGCATCATATTGGCAATGCCATAATTTTCTTGTTCGTGATGTTGCGGCCAATTTCCACAGGCATAGGCATAGAAGTCCTCACAGGGATCCACAGACAAATTCAGCGAAGCCATAATCTGTTCATATTGCTGCAATGTCTCCGATGAGGTCTGGACAGAGGCTGCCACAGGGGATACTTTAATGGGAATACCAGGGAAATAAATAAAATCTTGAAACTGAATTTCATATTTTTTTCAATTATTTTTTATTTTAATTTTTTTTTTATTTTTTTTTTTTTTTTTTGTTATGTTTCACTTTCTCCAAAACCGTTCCGAAACTGTGTCACGCATTATTTTGGTTTCAATATTTTGAGCCGCCACCACCCAATCATTGTTTACTGATAATTGTCAAAAATTGAGATTTTAATTTTTGAAAAAAAAATTTGTTCTCTTGGAGCTGATAAGAAAAGAACTGAGGGAGAGAGAGAGAACAGCACACAATGATGGAGGTACTTACACCGAATTTCATGAACACTTCTATTTCGATTTTTTAAACGAATTCGACGGCGATAGTTTTTAATTTTTTTTTTAGAAATTTTTTAACCTTAATTGACCTTTCGAATTATAATTAACCAGAGTTTCTACAAATAATGTAAAAAAATATTTTTTTTCAAGTATTTTTAATATATTTATTTTCTTTAATGTTTTTCAAATGTAGAATTTAAAAATATTTTCTCAAGGCTCATACATAAACGTGGATTTTTCAAAAATATTTTTTCAAGACCTAACCATAAACGTGGATTTTTTAAAAATATTTTTTCAAGACCTAACTATTAACGTGGATTTTATAAATATATTTTTTCAAGGGTTATTGACAAACGTGGATTTTTTAAAAATATTTTTTCAAGGGTTATTGACAAACGTGGATTTTTTAAAAATATTTTTTCAAGACCTAACCATAAACGTGGATTTTATAAAAATATTTTTTCAAGACCTAACCATAAACGTGGATTTTATAAAAATATTTTTTCAAGGGTTATTGATAAACGTGGATTTTTTAAAAATATTTTTTCAAGACCTAACCATAAACGTGGATTTTTTAAAAATATTTTTTCAAGACCTAACCATAAACATGGATTTTTTAAAAATATTGTTTCAAGGCCTAGAAATAAACGTGGATTTTTTAAAAATACTTTTTCAAGGCTCATACGTAAACGTGGATTTTTTAAAAATATTTTTTCAAGGCTCATCCATAAACGTGGATTTTTTAAAAATACTTTTTCAAGGCTCATCCATATACGTGTATTTTTTAAAAATATTTTTTCAAGGGTTATTAATAAACGTGGATTTTTTAAAAATATTTTTTCTAAACTCATCCATAAACGTGCATTTTTCTAAAAATATTTTTTCAAGGCTCATCTATAAACGTGCATTTTTCTAAAAATATTTTTAAGGTTTTTTAATAAATGTGGTTATTTTAATAATATTTCTTAAGGCTTACAAATAAACGTGTATTTTTTTTTAATATTTTTTCAATGCTTATACATAAACGTGGAGTTTTAAAAAATATTTTTTCTAAACTCATCCATAGACGTGGAGTTTTTTAAATATTTTTTAAGGGTTATTAGTAAACGTGGAGTTTTAATAAACGGAGATTTTTAAAAATATTTTTTCAAGGATTATTAATAAACGTGAATTTTCTTTATAAATATTTTTCAAGGGTTTATAATAAACGTGGATTTTTTAAAAAAATATTTTTTCAATGCTTATACATAAAAGTGGATTTTTAAAAAATATTTTTTCTAAACTCATCCATAAACGTGCATTTTTCTAAAAATATTTTTAAGTCTTTTTAATAAATGTGGGTTTTTTAATAATATTTTTTAAGGCTTACTAATAACGTGGATTTTTTAAAAATATTTTTTCATGGACCATAAATAAACGTGGATTTTTTAAAAATATTTTTTCAAGGCTTAACAATAAACGTGGATTTTTTAAAAATATTTTTTTATGGACCATAAATAAACGTGGATTTTTTAGAAATATTTTTTCAGTGACCATCAATAAACGTGGATTTTTTAAAAATACTTTTTCAATGACCACCAATAAACGTGGATTTTTTAAAAATACTTTTCAAGGCCTAACAATAAACGTGGATTTTTTAAAAATAGTTTTTCAAGGCCTAACAATAAACGTGGATTTTTTAAAAATAGTTTTTCAAGGCCTAACAATAAACGTGGATTTCTTAAAAATATTTTTTCAAGGCCTAACAATAAACGTGGATTTTTTAAAAATAGTTTTTCAAGGCCTAACAATAAACGTGGATTTCTTAAAAATATTTTTTCAAGGCCTAACAATAAACGTGGATTTTTTAAAAATATTTTTACAAGGGTTGTTAATAAACGTGGATTTTTTAAAAATATTTTTTCAAGGCTTATACATAAATGTAGATATTTTGAAAATATTTTTTCAAGGCTTATACATAAACGTGGGTATTTTAAAAATATTTGTTCAATGACCATCAATAAACGTGGATTTTTTAAAAGAATTTTTTTTAAGTCTAAACCAAACATGGATTAAAATAAAGATTTTTCCAAGTGTGGCCCAATTCTGGATTTTTTAAAGAATATTTATTTCAAGTCTGAGCCATATATTATTTTATATAAATATGTTTTCAAGTCTGAACCAAACGTGGATTTAAAAAAAAAATGTTTTTTCAACCTTGAACCGAACATTGATTTTTTCAGAAATATTATTTCATGTGTGAACCAAACTTGGATTAAAAAAAAATTCAAGTGTAAACCAAACTTGGATTGTTTAAAAAATATTTTTCCAAGTCTTAAACAAACGTGGAGTTAAAAAAAAATATATTTTTCCAAATCTGAAACAAGCGAGGATTTTTTCAAAAATATTTTTTTAAAGTTCTCTTAAAAACGCGGATTTTTTAAAAATATTATTTAAGCCACATACATAAACGTGGATTTAAAAAAAATATTTTTTCGACTCCAAAACAAACGTGGATTTTTTAAAAAAAATATTTTTTCGAATCCGAAACAAAAGTGGATTTTTAAAAAAATATTTTTTCCAAGTCTTGACCAAACGTGGATTTTTAAAAAACTGTTTTTCCAAGTCTTAACCGAACGTGGATTTTTAAAAAAAATATTTTTCCAAGTCTTAACCAAATGTGGATTTAAAAAAATATATATTTTTCCAAGTCTTAACCAAACGTGGATTTAAAAATATATATATATTTTTCCAAGCCTTAACCGAACGTGGGTTTAAAAAATTTTTTTTTTCACCTCCAAAACAAACATGGATTTTTTAAAAAAATATTTTTTCACCTCCAAAACAAACATGGATTTTTAAAAAAAAAAATATTTTTTCACCTCCAAAACAAGCATGGATTTTTTAAAAAAATGTTTTTCCAAGTCTTAACCGAACGTGGATTTTTAAAAAATTGTTTTTCCAAGTCTTAGCCGAACGTGGATTTTTAAAAAATTGTTTTTCCAAGTCTTAACCGAACGTGGATTTTTAAAAAAATATTTTTTCACCTCCAAAACAAACATGGATTTTTTTAAAAAATATTTTTGCACCTCCAAAACAAACTTGGATTTTTTAAAAAAAAATTTTCACCTCCAAAACAAACATGGATTTTTAAAAAAAATATTTTTTCACCTCTAAAACTAACGTGGATTTTTCACGTCTGAGCCGAATGTGGATTTTTTCAAAGAATTTTTTTTTGTGCAAATTATGTTTCCATGTCTGAGCAAAGAGCGGATTTTTTTAAATATTTTTTCAAGGTGTTTTTATTTACATTTCTTTATTTTAAATAACAAATTTATTTATTTTAAAATAATAATTATTATTCAATTCTAATTTCCTAAAGATATCTACACTTCCTTGCCGGATTCATTTCACTGCCCATGGGACACTGGAAGGCCTCACCGAAAACTTCCAAATTCATGGCAATTTGATTGAGTCGCACCATGGCACTGTCACTCTCCTGCCCAGCCACATCCTCGGGAGTCTTGGAACAAAAAGTTTGGGCCAAATTCAGGAAAAACAATTGCTTCCAGGGCAAGGAGGTGAATTGCGGTTGTAAATTATATTTATATTCCTGGGCATAGGTCTGATAGGCTATGCGGGCGCCCATCAAATCGGCAATGCGTTCATTTATAAAATCCGTGGGTTCCTGTTGCACCATACATTTTATGTGGGGATGTTGGGGGAGATTGGCAAAGTCGGCACCTTGTTCTTGGAGGGCTCGTAGATTTATGGCTTTGGCATAACTTTGGGCCAATAGGAAACCAAAGGTGGAGAGGGAGAGTAAGGGGTCCAAATCCAAATGATAGATGGGTAGTTGTAGGGAGGCAAAGGGTATAACAACATTATTGGTGGTTAGATCATAGGTGGGCAGGACAGGAAATTGGGGTTGACAAATCACTTTGTTCGGGCAGTTAAATCTCAGCCAGGTTTGATGTTGCAGGGCCCTCAAATCATTGCCATAGAAATTTTCCGGATCCATGGCAGGTAGAGTGGTGTAGATTTTCTCTAAGAGTTCTAAGTTTATGTTTTCCGGCAGATTGCCAATATTTGAGGTCACATTGAGTAGCTGCCGCCGTAGACCCTTCATTTGTTCGGGAGTTAAATCCAAACGATTTTCCTTTACCAAGGAGAAGAGGTTGCGATAGATTTTCGTGCTCAATAGACTAAGATGGCTGTTGTACTCTCCAGCCTGAGGCTGATAGAAATATTTCGAAAACAGATAATCGAACGGCAGGTGGAGGCGATTTTTAATGGCATAGAAACAATTGCTGGGTTGCTCATATTTCAAATAGATCAGGAAATTCAGCATTAGGTAGTTGCAGAGTTTTTGAATTCGGTGGGGATTTCGAAATTCCGCCAACAGCTTGGAGAAGTAGTCTACATCCGATATCAGGGCCACGCTGTGCGCCTGATGGCGATTGGGTGGCTCAATTTGGCTGATAAAGCCATACAAATGTTGCAGATCATGTTTGAGGCCTCTATAGGGTATTTCATATTCCGTACGATCCGCCTCATCACTGGAAATGTAGTTGGCATAGAACGTCTCCAATTGTTGATGTATCCGCACCATGTCCAAATAGTATTTCCGAACAATTTGTTTGGGTAGCTGTATTTCCCTCAGAATTTTTCTCAACAAATTCCGTTTAAGTTCCGGCACCTCAGGTAAGCTAATTTTTATAACCCGCTCCCCTTTCACCCCCTGAGAGGTCCATTCGTATGCTATGAGGCCACTCTCGAAACCATAGCTGCTCAACTTACCCAATAAATTAAATAACTGCAACTTCCCCACTGGCCACACGTTGGGCGCCACATAGGGTTGGCGTTTACGTTGACGTGCCACCACCTCCAGCAAAGGCCATTCCAACCCTGGTCCTGGTTTAATTTCCTCCAAATAACGTAAAACATCATAGCTCTCATATTCCGCAATACAGCTGTAGAAATATGCCAGCGATTTGTCCACGAAGCTCTGGCGATAATCCTCATCGGTGTGTTCCTCCAACGGATATTCCTCCACAATAAATTCCACATAATTTAAGACATGCCTCTGCCTCAGCTGCGATTCCACATCGTACTCCATATCATCCGGATGGGCGGCGGACCAATTGCCACAGGCATATTCATAGAAATTCACACAGGGATTGGCATTGCGATTTAGGGCATATTGTATCTGACGGATTTGCTGCAAGTCCTCCGAGTGATTTTGTGCCAAGGACAGATGGAGACAACCCAAGATCGCCACAATTTGGAAAATTCCCGTACTTCTTCTTTTCATATTTCACTTTTTTTGCGTGTCAAGGAGAATCACATGCCATAACGCCAATTTTTTTTGGGGGGTTATCTATGTTATGTTGCCGAAATGAATTCTTCTTAAAAACTAGTTGCGAAAAAGTAGAATTTTGAAATATATTTTTAGGTTTTGCTCTCTCTCGTATGTGTTTTGCCAGGGTAGCTGATAAGCCGCCCCAAGCATTTCAGACAAATTCATGTTCAAGGTCAGGTGTTGAATGCACTGGAATTTTGCGTGGAGACACAGACAGTGGTGTGAGAGTATAAAAAAATTTCAAAACTGAAAAAAAAAATTATAAAAAAAAAATCGGAAAAATAAAAAAGGTTTGTTTTTTAATTAACAAATAATGAAAAATTATTTAAAAAAATCTATGGTATTCATGGGAAATTTGTTCTAAGAAAGTACAATTTGAGAATCCACATTGAAATCTTAAAAAAAACCTTCAAAAAATATGTTTTGAAAAAAAAAAAACAAGTAAAAAAAGCTGTAACTTCGGCCGGTCCGAACTTTGAATACCCTCCACCATTTGGTACAAATTTAACAATTTTCAAAAAAATAAAATACCTCAAAAATTCTTTTAAAATCTTGAAAATACCTAATGTAGCCGTATATTAGGGTCTATACGACGACGTGGGCCTGCATAGGCAACTTTTGTCACAAGCTATTACAATATTCAAATGCGAAACTTGAAAAAAAATTGTTTATAATGTAGCTAAAATCATCAAAATACCGAATATTGGGAGGTACCATGGGGGTTATAAAACGTGGACCAGCACACAGACAATTTTGTGGCATAGGCTGTAGTATTCATTACGACCTTCAAATATCAAATTTGAAATAGTTCCGGTAAATAATGTCACTAAAATCATCAAAATACCGAATATAGAGAGGTACCTTGGGGGTTATAAAACATGGATCTGGATCTTCACGAACTTCAAATGTGACATTTGAAACAATTCCGCTAAATAATGTTGCTAAAATCATCATAATACCGAATATCGGGGGGTACCGTTACATGGGGGCTATACAAAGGCGTGGAAATGCGCAGACAATTTTCTGTCATAGGCTGTAGTATTCATTACGAACTTCAAATACCAAATTTAAAATAATTCCGGTAAATAATGTCGCTAAAGTCATCAATATACCGAATATCGGGGGGTACCGCTATATGGGGGCTATACGAAGACGTGGACCTACATGGTGCATTTTCAATACTAAAAGTCCTGCAGACATAGTACACATTTGAGTAAAATTTTATCAACCTACTTAATTTCGTTGGGAAGCTAGAGTGATTTACACAGAGGGACAGACGTATAGACGGATAGGCGGATCGACATAGAATTTTATGCTGATCAAGAATATATATACTTTGTGGGGTCTAAAATGTATATTTCGAGGTGTGACAAACTTAATACACCCTCCATACTATGGTGGAGGGCATAAAAATAGATGGTCTTTAAAAATACTCTTTTATATTCCAGCATGAGAGCCTACAGAATGATTGAGTGTCTTAGAAAAAAATATATGAAATTTTTTTTAAAATTTAAAGAAAAATTTTGAAAATTTATTTAAAAAAAGTCTATGGTATTTATGGAACATTTTTTGTAAAAAATACAATTTTAGAACTTCAAAGAAGCTAGAAAAAATATATGAAGTAATCCACAAAAATTTTTTTCAGATCCTTTGAAAAAATATTATTTTGAATATTCAAATATAGTTTCTATGGTAAGGGTATTATTTTTTTTAATACAATATGAGAATTTAAAGATGCTACAAAGAAAAAATCTAAAAAAACCGGATTGAAATCTTTGAAAGTCTTTTGAAATTTTTGGAATATTAAAAAAATATTAAAAAAAAAAAATGTATAACGTCTTTATTATCCAGTATGAGAGAATTCAGAATGGTTTCTTAAAGAGCTTTAAAAATATTTAAAAAAAAATTCATGTTGAAGAGTCCCAGAAAAAATGCACTTTTGAATATTTCCTTGCATTCTCAAAAAAAAAAAAAAAAAAAAAATATTCAAAACTTAAAATGAAATTATGGAAGGTCCTTTGAAAAATATTTTTCGAATATACAAAAAATGTTTTTAACAAATTAATGAGGGCTTTAAACAGGGTCTCTTAATAATCCAGCATGAGATCTTTCTGAATGGTTTCTGTGGTAAAGGTAATCATGACAATTTTTCTCTAAAAAAAATATAATTTGAGAATATTAAAGAAGCTACGTAAAAATATCTAAGAAAATCCATATTGAAATCTTAGAAGGGCCTTTGGAACTCTGGTTTTCGAATTTTCAAGAGAAATACTTCTTAAAATAATTTTTGAGAGTATTTAAAATATTCTGTCTAATTCACAAGGGTTTCTATGGTCAAGGTTTGCATTGAACATTTTTTTCTAGAAAAATACAATTTGAAGTTTATTTAAAGCGATTTAAAGAAATAAATTTCAGTAAAAGCATTAATAGAAGCTTTTTAGGTTACTGAAATCAAATATCCAAAAAAAAAAAAATGAAAAGACGAGCCTAGTTTTGAATACTTTCCACTATTTGGAAGGAATTTGAAAAATTAAAAAAAAAAAAAAAATAATATCAGTTATATTGGGGTCCATACGAAGGCGTGGACACCATTCAAATACGAAACTTGAAAAAATCGGTGAATAATAAAGCTAAAATAGTTATAATATTCAAAACTCGGGGTAAAGACATTGAAATTCCAAAAAGTGCAAGAACTTACACCGCAACCAAAAGAAAATAGACTCCAAGTAGCTATAAAGTTGCTTCGCTTGGCCGAGTGGTGAACTGCCGAATTTGGTTTTCTCTATTATTAATAAAAAAATATTCCCAAATTTTCATCAATTATTGTTCATCCACGATTATGATCTTTCAATTGATAAAGTCTTTGGTCCATGGAAAAAATCTAATTTGAGTCCTTGCGAAAATATTTCTTTTTTTTTTAAATCCATTTTATTACCTTGGAAAAAAAATATTCCTAAAAAATCCACACCTTCCATGGGGAAAAATTATTTTTTTCACAAATCCCCATCCATGGCTCCTTAAAACATAAAATATTCCCATAAATATCCTTGACATAAATGACATATGGACCACTAATTAATACACCACCCTCCTTATCCCATATTAGTTGCATTGAAATATGTCAATGCTTCCGTTGTTGTTGTTGCTGCTAAATAAGCGTTGAACTGTAAAGATTGCTGCTGTCGCTTGGCCATAATATATTTGCCCATGGTCAAGTGTCGTCTGTCCTGCTTGTTTAATATCACATTTCTTTTATAGTTCGGTCCATATGTCTTCTTTAACTTCTTCTACTTCTTCATAAATGTAGTTGTGGTGGTGTGCCGGACCATCAACGTCATGACGGCGGCCATGTAAGTTTGCCATTTCGAAGACGACAATATCTCCAAGATATTGTCAACTGTCAGTTATGGCTAGGCAAGTAAATCTTCCCACGCCGGAACGGTGTTAGCAATGGAGGTGTGTGGGTGTGTAGGTGTGTGTGGGTGAGTGTTACTTTGACTTATTACAACAAAGTTTTTTTTTCTCGCCACAGATGAGGGATCCCTTGCCAGGCTAAGACGACGATGGAGAACCAAAAAACAATATGTCATTGATATTCCACAGATGTCGACAAATGATTTAAGCTGCTGCTAAGCTTTAGGCTTAGAAATTGAGATTTTTTCCTTTCCTCAGCATGGCTCTCTACGATTCTGGCAACTATTCCTGCCTCCCACCTTCCTCCTGAGTTCCAAGGACAACATTGGTGACGTTGCCAATGCTGCCAATACTGAAGGATGCTGAAACTTTTTATATAGTTTTTCTTCTTCTTCTTTTCCTCATCTCTCCCCCTCCCCCCAGATTCCACTTTTAGCTCGTCAGCTGGGGAAAAGTTTTTGACATACAATTTAATTAAGGAAAATCACTTGCTCCCGAAAAGCGACAACGTCACTCAATAGCGAACGGAGACAGACAGCCACCAACCCGGGCAGGCCAAGGGTGATTATTGGCATAGTTGGGGTGGATGCACAGGATAACTTCTACTATGTGGTTAGTCCTGGTGGAAGGATAAGATTAAGTAATGTCAAAGATTTTGGATGCGACCCAAGTCGGAGGGGGAAAAAAGTTTGGAAAATGGGGGGGATTTGCGGTGCTTATTGGCATTGTTGTGGGACCAAAAAACAAGGAGGAATACTCCAATTAAATTTGGTTAACAGTTAAAGAAATTATAATTGGGAAAATGAAAACTTATGAAAAAAATTCTGGAATAATGGACAGCAAAGGAAAAAGAAAATTCTAAAAAAATCAATTTTTAAAATAAAATAATCAATTAACGTGGATTTTTTAAAAATATTTTTTCAAGGCCTAACAATAAACGTGGATTTTTTAAAAATATTTTTTCAAGGCCTAACAATAAACGTGGATTTTTTAAAAATATTTTTTCAAGGCCTAACAATAAACGTGGATTTTTTAAAAATATTTTTTCAAGGCCTAACAATAAACGTGGATTTTTTAAAAATATTTTTTCAAGGCCTAACAATAAACGTGGATTTTTTAAAAATATTTTTTCAAGGCCTAACAATAAACGTGGATTTTTTAAAAATATTTTTTCAAGGCCTAACAATAAACGTGGATTTTTTAAAAATATTTTTTCAAGGCCTAACAATAAACGTGGATTTTTTAAAAATATTTTTTCAAGGCCTAACAATAAACGTGGATTTTTTAAAAATATTTTTTCAAGGCCTAACAATAAACGTGGATTTTTTAAAAATATTTTTTCAAGGCCTAACAATAAACGTAGATTTTTTAAAAATATTTTTTCAAGGCCTAACAATAAACGTGGATTTTTTAAAAATATTTTTTCAAGGCCTAACAATAAACGTGGATTTTTTAAAAATATTTTTTCAAGGCCTAACAATAAACGTGGATTTTTTAAAAATATTTTTTCAAGGCCTAACAATAAACGTGGATTTTTTAAAAATATTTTTTCAAGGCCTAACAATAAACGTGGATTTTTAAAACTATTTTTTCAAGGCCTAACAATAAACGTGGATTTTTTAAAAAATATTTTTCAAGGGTTATTAATAAACGTGGATTTTTTAAAAATATTTTTTCAGGGTTATTAATATACGTGGATTTTTTAAAAATATTTTTTCAAGGGTTATTAATAAACGTGGATTTTTTAAAAATATTTTTTCAAGGGTTATTAATAAACGTGGATTTTTTAAAAATATTTTTTCAAGGCCTAACAATAAACGTGGATTTTTTAAAAATATTTTTTCAAGGCCTAACAATAAACGTGGATTTTTTAAAAATACATTTTCAAGGCCTAACAATAAACGTGGATTTTTTAAAAATATTTTTTCAAGGCCTAACAATAAACGTGGATTTTTAAAAATATTTTTTCAAGGCTTAACAATAAACATGGATTTTTTAAAAATATTTTTTCAAGGCTCATCCATAAACGTGGATTTTTTAAAAATATTTTTTCAAGGCCTAACAATAAACGTGGATTTTTTAAAAATTATTTTTTCAAGGCCTAACAATAAACGTGGATTTTTTAAAAATATTTTTTCAAGGCCTAACAATAAACGTGGATTTTTTAAAAATATTTTTTCAAGGCCTAACAATAAACGTGGATTTTTTAAAAATTATTTTTTCAAAGCCTAACAATAAACGTGGATTTTTTAAAAATATTTTTAGAAGGCCTTACATAAACGTGGATTTTTTAAAAATATTTTTAGAGGGCCTTACATAAACGTGGATGTTTTAAAAAATATTTTTAGAGGGCCTTACATAAACGTGGATTTTTTAAAAATATTTTTAGAGGGCCTTACATAAACGTGGATTTTTTAAAAATATTTTTAGAGGGCCTTACATAAACGTGGATTTTTTAAAAATATTTTTAGAGGGCCTTACATAAACGTGGATTTTTTAAAAATATTTTTAGAGGGCCTTACATAAACGTGGATTTTTTAAAAATATTTTTAGAGGGCCTTACATAAACGTGGATTTTTTAAAAATATTTTTAGAGGGCCTTACATAAACGTGGATTTTTTAAAAATATTTTTAGAGGGCCTTACATAAACGTGGATTTTTTAAAAATATTTTTAGAGGGCCTTACATAAACGTGGATTTTTTAAAAATATTTTTAGAGGGCCTTACATAAACGTGGATTTTTTAAAAATATTTTTAGAGGGCCTTACATAAACGTGGATTTTTTAAAAATATTTTTAGAGGGCCTTACATAAACGTGGATTTTTTAAAAATATTTTTAGAGGGCCTTACATAAACGTGGATTTTTTAAAATATTTTTAGAGGGCCTTACATAAACGTGGATTTTTTAAAAATATTTTTAGAGGGCCTTACATAAACGTGGATTTTTTAAAAATATTTTTAGAGGCCTTACATAAACGTGGATTTTTTAAAAATATTTTTAGAGGGCCTTACATAAACGTGGATTTTTTAAAAATATTTTTAGAGGGCCTTACATAAACGTGGATTTTTTAAAAATATTTTTAGAGGGCCTTACATAAACGTGGATTTTTTAAAAATATTTTTAGAGGGCCTTACATAAACGTGGATTTTTTAAAAATATTTTTAGAGGGCCTTACATAAACGTGGATTTTTTAAAAATATTTTTAGAGGGCCTTACATAACGTGGATTTTTTAAAATATTTTTAGAGGGCCTTACATAACGTGGATTTTTTAAAAATATTTTTAGAGGGCCTTACATAAACGTGGATTTTTTAAAAATATTTTTAGAGGGCCTTACATAAACGTGGATTTTTTAAAATATTTTTAGAGGGCCTTACATAAACGTGGATTTTTTAAAAATATTTTTAGAGGGCCTTACATAAACGTGGATTTTTTAAAAATATTTTTAGAGGGCCTTACATAAACGTGGATTTTTTAAAATATTTTTAGAAGGCCTTACATAAACGTGGATTTTTTAAAAATATTTTTAGAGGGCCTTACATAAACGTGGATTTTTTAAAAATATTTTTAGAGGGCCTTACATAAACGTGGATTTTTTAAAAATATTTTAGAAGGCCTTACATAAACGTGGATTTTTTAAAAATATTTTTAGAGGGCCTTACATAAACGTGGATTTTTTAAAAATATTTTTCAAGGGTTATTAATAAACGTGAATTTTTTAAAAATTATTTTTCAAGCCCTAATTATAAACGTGGATTTTTTAAAAATTATTGTTCTACGCCTCTGCTGTGTAAATACAATATTTTATTTACAAACAATTCATTGCCTATCTACCCTGACCCATGACCTCGAGATTCAAAACAAACTGCTGAGTATTTGAGTTGTTGTTTTGTTCTCAAGAGAGCTCCCCTAAGCCACCACACGCTTATCACTGGGAAATCTTCTAAATTCAATATTCAGTTGTAATTCGATTTCAAAACTGTAAACAAATCATCGATTTCAGCACGGAAGAAAAATGAAAATCAAACATTGGAGCCCATTGCTGGCCATTGGAATTTTTATAAATTTTGTGGCCTTAGCAACCTGTCTGGATGGAGATCTGCAACAATTAAAGCTGATAGAGGCCTCGATGGATGCCGGAATGGATCCTTGTGAAGATTTCCATGCCTATGCCTGTGGCCGTTGGTCCCAAGTCAATAAGGGGTTCCATGTGGATTTGGAGGAATTGTTGAAATATAATTTCACCATACGCCTGATGGAGCTGATGATGGGGAGATATCCCAAGAGCGTGTTGGAGGGGAGGGAGGAGAAGCAGACAGCCATGGAAAAGGCTGCCGTGTTTTTACATTCCTGTTTGAAGGTCAAAACTGTGGAGGTTACCAAATACTTGGAGGAAATTAAACCTGGTAAGGGTTTGGAATGGCCATTGATGGCTGAGAGTTCGGCAGGAAATTGGTCGGATTTTAATGCCTTCGAGTTGCTGGGCCAATTGCAGAGTTATGGCTATGCCTCGGATATTTTGGAACAAACCACGGTGCGCAGAAATGGTAGTATTTTGACGGTCTTGACAATACCCGATGTGGCCGATTTCGATGAGGAGGGTATTGGGAAAATATTGAGAGACTTGAGACTACCAGCCGATGCTGTGAGCCAACAATTGCAGGAGTTACGTGGCACCCATGACTACTGGCAGGCTGCCTATCGGGACTATGGCGATTTTGGGGAAAGTGAAAATCTTTTCTCCCACAACGATATACGACAATCCAATCCCAAATTGGAGGGATTTTTGAATCATGTCCTGCCGCCCAAATTAAGGGAGCCCGACTCCTTGGTGGTAATCCCTTTTTGGGATTATCTGGAATTTTTACTCTCCCAAAATTGGCAGTCGTCGGAGGAGAATCAAAAATTTGCCAATTATTTAATGGTGAAATTTTTACTGCATCTGAAGAAGTCCACCAATCCGATTTGTTTGGAGACCACTTTGGAGAGAATGCATTTGGCCTATGATTATGTATTCTACGAGAACTTCTATGTCCCCCAAGGAAGGGCAATTAACAGGGACCTCTCCCAGCTGAATAAAATTATTTCGAAAAGTTTCCATTGGACTCTCCATGAAAATCGCCTCAACATAAGCTCCCAGCAAATTGAGGCCATCAGGCAAATGTTGTCGAAAATTACTCTCAACATTGGCAATTTACCGGAGAACCTTAGCCCCACAACTCTAGAGAAATTCTATGCCCTCCTGCCAGATTTGGATATCAACAACTTTTATGCCAATGACTTGAAATTAATGCAACATCGGACCCTGGAGCCCATAATATGCCCAGCCACCTTGGATTGTAACCCGAAATTGGCCACAGCTCCCAAATATCTACCCGAACAAGATTTACTCATCATACCCTTTGCCTCGCTACACCAGCCCGTCTATCAGGCCAATATGGATCCCCTTTTCCAACATTCCTCCCTGGGTTTTCTGCTGGCCCATGAGTTCACCCACAACATAGATCCCAACGGGCTCATTACCGATGACATGTATGGCCATTTATTTGTCAGCATTATGGACCACCCTAATATCAAGGCATCGATAAAATGTCTAAAAGCCCAGCAGCCCAGCAGCAACGAAGTCAGTGAAACCATTGCTGATTTAGTGGCCGCCCGTCTGACCTACCGCTCATATCTAAGGGATTATAATCGGCAACCCAATTTCTCCGCTCTGCCTTGGAGGCAATTATTCTTCCTGAATCTGGGGCAAATGTTATGCTCGAAGCCTTTGTCGAACAATGGAAAGCGCTTAAATCACATTGCCATGAACATGGCGGCATTCTCGAGAGCTTTTCAGTGTCCGCTGGGCAGTAAAATGAATCCGGAAATTAAATGTCGTTTTTATTGAAATAAAAAAATTAATAAAAAACAAAAATAAAATATTTTTAAAAAATCCACGCCAAAAAATATTTTTAAAAAATCCACGCCAGTGTTTGGCCTTTGGAAAAATATTCTTAAAAATCCACGCCAGTGTTTGGCCTTTGAAAAAATATTTTTAAAAAATCCACGCATGTTAAAAGTCATTGAAAAAATATTTTTAAAAAATCCACGTCTATTAAAAGTCCTTGAAAAAATATTTTTAAAAAATCCACGCCTGTTAAAAGTCCTTGGAAAAATATTTTTAAAAAATCCACGCCTGTTAAAAGTCCTTGAAAAAATATTTTTAAAAAATCCACGCCTATTAAAAGGTTCTTTCAGAAATATTTTTAAAAAATCCACGCCTTTGATAGAGTCCTTAAAAAAATATTTTTAAAAAATCCACGCCTATTAAAAGGTTCTTTCAGAAATATTTTTAAAAAATCCACGCCTTTGATAGAGTCCTTAAAAAAATATTTTTAAAAAATCCACGCCTTTGATAGGGTCCTTGAAAAATATTTTTAAAAAATCCACACCTGTGTTTGGTCCTTGAAAAAATATTTTTAAAAAATCCACGCCTGTTAAAAGTCCTTGAAAAAATATTTTTAAAAAATCCACGCCTGTTAAAAGTCCTTGAAAAAATATTTTTAAAAAATCCACGCCTGTTAAAAGTCCTTGAAAAAATATTTTTAAAAAATTCACGCCTGTTAAAAGTCCTTGAAAAAATATTTTTAAAAAATCCACGCCTGTTAAAAGTCCTTGGAAAAATATTTTTAAAAAATCCACGCCTGTTAAAAGTCCTTGAAAAAATATTTTTAAAAAATCCACGCCTGTTAAAAGTCCTTGAAAAAATATTTTTAAAAAATCCACGCCTGTTAAAAGTCCTTGAAAAATATTTTTAAAAAATCCACGCCTGTTAAAAGTCCTTGAAAAAATATTTTTAAAAAATTCACGCCTGTTAAAAGTCCTTGAAAAAATATTTTTAAAAAATCCACGCCTGTTAAAAGTCCTTGAAAAAATATTTTTAAAAAATTCACGCCTGTTAAAAGTCCTTGAAAAAATATTTTTAAAACATCCACGCCTGTTAAAAGTCCTTGAAAAAATATTTTTAAAAAATCCACGCCTGTTAAAAGTCCTTGAAAAAATATTTTTAAAAAATCCACGCCTGTTAAAAGTCCTTGAAAAAATATTTTTAAAAAATCCACGCCTGTTAAAAGTCCTTGAAAAAATATTTTTAAAAAATCCACGCCTGTTAAAAGTCCTTGAAAAAATATTTTTAAAAAATCCACGCCTGTTAAAAGTCCTTGAAAAAATATTTTTTAAAAATCCACGCCTGTTAAGGTCCTTGAAAAAATATTTTTAAAAAATCCACGCCTGTAAAAGTCCTTGAAAAAATATTTTTAAAAAATCCACGCCTGTTAAAAGTCCTTGAAAAAATATTTTTAAAAAATCCACGCCTGTTAAAAGTCCTTGAAAAAATATTTTTAAAAAATCCACGCCTGTTAAAAGTCCTTGAAAAAATATTTTTAAAAAATCCACGCCTGTTTGAAGGTTCTTAAAAAAAATGTTTTAAAAAATCCACGCCTATGATAAGGTCCTTGAACAAATATTTTTAAAAAATCCACACCTGTATTTGGTCCTTGAAAAAATATTTTTAAAAAATCCACACCTGTATTTGGTCCTTGAAAAAATATTCTTAATTTTTTTTGAAAATATAATTTTTAAAAATCCACGCCTATTTTTAGGTCCTTGAAAAAATATTTTTAAAAAATCCACGCCTTTGATAGGGTCCTTGAAAGTATAATTTTAAAAAATCCACGTCTATTTTTAGGTCCTTGAAAAAAAATTTTTAAAAAATCCACGCCTTTGATAGGGTCCTTGAAAAAAAATTTTTAAAAAATCCACGCCTTTGATAGGGTCCTTGAAAAAATATTTTTAAAAAATCCACGCCTATTATAAGGTGCTTGAAAAAATATTTTTAAAAAATCCACGCCTATTATAAGGTGCTTGAAAAAATATTTTTAAAAAATCCACGCCTTTGATAGGGTCCTTGAAAAAATATTTTTAAAAAATCCACGAGTGTTAAAAGTCCTTGACAAAATATTTTTAAAAAATCCACGCCTTTGATAGGGTCCTTGAAAAAATATTTTTAAAAAATCCACGAGTGTTAAAAGTCCTTGAAAAAATATTTTTAAAAAATCCACGCCTTTGATCGGGTCGTTGAAAAAATATTTTTAAAAAATCCACGCCTTTGATCGGGTCGTTGAAAAAATATTTTTAAAAAATCCACGCCTTTGATAGGGTCGTTGAAAAAATATTTTTAAAAAATCCACGCCTTTGATAGGGTCGTTGAAAAAATATTTTTAAAAAATCCACGCTTTTGATAGGGTTCTTGAAAAAATATTTTTAAAAAATCCACGCCTTTGATAGGGTCGTTGAAAAAATATTTTTAAAAAATCCACGCCTTTGATAGGGTCGTTGAAAAAATATTTTTAAAAAATCCACGCCTTTGATAGGGTCGTTGAAAAAATATTTTTAAAAAATCCACGCCTTTGATAGGGTCCTTGAAAATATATTTTTAAAAAATCCACGCCTTTGATAGGGTCCTTGAAAAAATATTTTTAAAAAATCCACGCCTTTGATAGGGTCCTTGAAAAAGTATTTTTAAAAAATCTAAGCCTGTTTGAAGGTCCTTAAAAAATATTTTTAAAAAATTTACGTCTGTTAAAAGTCCTTGAAAAAAAATATTTTTAAAAAATCCACGCCTTTGATATGGTCCTTGAAAAAATATTTTTAAAAAATCTAAGCCTGTTTGAAGGTCCTTAAAAATATTTTTAAAAAATCCACGCCTATGATTAGATCCTAGAAAAAATCCACGTTTATGGTTAGGTCCTTGAAAAAATATTTTTAAAAATCCACGTCTATAATTAGGTCCTTAAAAAATTGAAAAAATTGACGCCTGTTTTAAGGTCCTTAAAAATATTTTTAAAAACTCCACGCCTGTTTTAAGGTCCTTAAAAAATATTTTAAAAAAAATCCAAACCTATAATAATCCACGCATATAATAAGGTCCTTGAAAATATGTTTTTAAAAAATCCTTTAAAGTATATTTTCCAAAACTCCACACCTATTTTTGGTTCTATTTTTTTTTAAATATCCTTTTTGGCATCTCAATTTATTTTTAATTTTTTTAATATCAGATTAGATTGGAATTTGGCCATAACTACATTCTATTTGACCACACCTCAATGTATTCAAATAATTGTTATGAATATTTTCTCCCTCCCAAAATTGACAATTTCAAAAATTTTATTATTGTGGACAAAATGATTACACTTTTTTGTTGTTGTTTCTGTTGTTATTACATTTTCCAAAAATGTCAACAATTTAATAATTTTTTGGCCACAAAAATAGATATTAGGAAATATTTCTATTTTAAATTGAATGCTGCATACCGCAAGCTAAGGATTGTTAAAATTGTGACAATATTTTGATTATGTTTGTATTTCGATGCGTGTATGTGTGTGTGTGCACGTATGTGTGAGTGGAATTTTCATAAAAATTGCTAACCAATGAATATTATTATAAATGAATAATTTTAATATTAGCTAAATTTTTAATTTGACGTTATGAACATTTTGATATTAGATTTTTTCAGGATGTTTACAATGGAACGCACACACACACACATACATGCATGTTCACGTACAGAGAGACAGTTTTACACATGTATGCGTTTATGCGTTCGTGTTCACTGAAGTTGTAGCTGCATACGAATTTCAAATTAAATTTAAATATTTTTTGTAGACAAATATTTTAACAGTTGTAATAACAAAAACACCATGGACCACCAAAACACACACACTCAGCGCACTCACACATATACACATACATGCAAACATTTAATATATGCATAAAAATAATGATAATAATAATATTGCTACCGAAAAACTACTTGAAAAACAAAATTTGTGGTGACATTTAAATGGCGCGGTACATAAGCGGGGTGTGGTATGAAAAGGAGGGTCAAAGAGGCTCACTATAGGAGGGGATTTTTTAAAAATATTTTTTCAAGGACCTTATCATAAGCGTGGATTTTTTAAAAAATATTTTTTCAAGGACCTTATAATAGGCATGGATTTTTTAAAAATATTTTTTAAAAACCTTATCATAAGCGTGGATTTTTTAAAAATATTTTTTAAAAACCTTATCATAAGCGTGGATTTTTTAAAAATATTTTTTAAGGACCTTATCATAAGCGTGGATTTTTTAAAATTTTTTTTTAAAAACCTTAAAACATTTTTGATTTTTTAAAAATATTTTTTAAAAACCTTAAAAAAATTTTGGTTTTTTAAAAATATTTTTTAAAAATATTTTTTAAAAACCTTAAAACATTTTTGATTTTTTAAAAATATTTTTTAAAAACCTTAAAACATTTTTGATTTTTTAAAAATATTTTTAAGGACCTTAAAACATTTTTGATTTTTTAAAAATATTTTTAAGGACCTTAAAACATTTTTAATTTTTTAAAAATATTTTTAAGGACCTTAAAACAGTTTTGATTTTTTAAAAATATTTTTAAGGACCTTAAAACATTTTTGATTTTTTTTAAAAATATTTTTATTTTTAAAAATATTTTTTGCGGACTTTTAAACAAGCGTAAATTTTTAAAAATATTTTTAAGATCCCGAAAACGCGCGTTGATTTTTTAAAAATATTTTTTCAAGGACCATAAAATAGACGTGGATTTTTTAAAAATATTTTTTCAAGGACCATAAAATAGGCGTGGATTTTTTAAAAATATTTTTTCAAGGACCATAAAATAGGCGTGGATTTTTTAAAAATATTTTTTCAAGGACCATAAAATAGGCGTGGATTTTTTAAAAATATTTTTTCAAGGACCATAAAATAGGCGTGGATTTTTTAAAAATATTTTTTCAAGGACCATAAAATAGGCGTGGATTTTATAAAAATATTTTTTCAAGGACCATAAAATAGGCGTGGATTTTTTAAAAATATTTT